TCAGATGTGTGAGAGCAGGACTAGGCCTTAGAGCCTAAAGCAGTCAAGCTACCTCAGTTCTGAGAAAAGCATCCTTACTGGTTAATGTCAGCTGTTAGTCACCAGGCAACCTTGTGTCACGTGATACTAATTTTGCGAAGGTATAAATAAATGCCCCTACTGTTGTGCTGGGGGTTGTTTCACCAACCAGGCAGACAGGCCACCACTTGACCCAACTCTGTCTTTTTGTCTATCTTTTCCTCATTTCTGCCACCATTTCTCCCCAGGTACAACATCACACAGAGAGAACAACAGATCCTTACATCAGCAGACACTGCTGGGCGCTGTATTCAGAAAATTGTCCACTGGGGTTTTATCTGGAGTATGGAGTGGCTGTGTGTGTGTGTGTGTGTGTGTGTGTGTGTGTGTGTGTGTACCAGGTATGGGACCCTCAGCCCAGGGTGTGCCATGCAGATAGTCTACACTATCTTGGCCCTAGGACCTTTCACAGTTGGTAAAGCTCAAGGCTGGAAGAGGTGGCATGGTGTGAGAGGATCACATGAAATACTGCTGGGGCACAGAGAAGTAGGGAAGCCAGTCTTCCCAGAGAAGGAGGTGGCCAGCTCATCTCTGGGTTGTGTGGCCTCGGGATACAGCGGGGGAAACTTTTCTGAGTACGCCCTGATACCGAGGCTTACTGGCCTCATAAAATGAGTTGGGCAGTGGTTAATTCCTTTTCCACTCTCCGTAGCAGTTTATGGTAAAGTTGTAATTGTTGTTTCTGGAGTGCTTACAGAAATTGCCCAGAAAAACTACAAGGGCTTAAAAGGGTTTTTGTTGTTTTATTTTAAATTATACCTTTTTCTAAGAATCTGCCCATTTTTGTCTGAGTCTTTCAGTGTGTTGACATGGTCTTTCTGAACAACCCTGTTTCACATGTTCACCATTTGCAGCCACTCTGGTTGCACCCAGAGGCACACCAGGGAGCCAGCCTGGTGATACGTGGCTGTTTGCCCCTGAATGTCCCCAAGATGCATGCACCAAGGGGAAGCCAGGAATGGGACTTGCTGTTTTGGTGATACCAGAAATTAGAGCTGAAGAGGGCCAGCCAAATAGCTCAGCAGATTAAATTGCCTGTAAGCAGGCACAGAGGCTGGGGGTTCAATCCCTGGGCCTGCCTTGCCGACTCTGCCCCCGGGGCATGCTGAGGTAGCAATTGAGACTGGTTGTGGTGTCATGCACCTGTAATCCCAGCTCTTGGGAGGCTGTAAACAGGAGGATCACTACGAGTCTAAGTCCGATCTATTAGTGAGACCCTGAACACCATGTACTCCCTTCCCTAAAATACAAAAAAGAAAAGAAAAGAAATTAGAGCTGAAGCAACAGCAGGTGCAGTGGAGCTGGGAATGGAGGACTCCTGGGAGCTCTTGGGGGCTCAGCCTTGAAAAAGTTGAGCCAGCTTGGGCAAGCTAGGGCTGGGATGCCTCTCCCTCCTGGTGCAGGTCTTACAGCAGGGCCTGTTTTGGTGCTTCAGACATCTTGCACCCCTTGCTATTCCTGCTTAGGATGGCAGAGTGAGGGGTTCTATATGCAGCTCCAGGTGGGTGGGACAGGGTCTCTTCATTTCAGACTTGAGTTAGGACTGAGGTCCCAGCTGTCCCGCTGCACAAACACCTGGCACTTCCACTCCTCTGTCTGAAGGGTGCCTTGCCCAGGTGCCTGAGGGTGTCCCCTTCTGTGTCCCAACACAAGGCACACATGGGAGTGTCTAGAGTGGACTTCTGGAAGTGGAATTACCTGGAAAGCTGGGACACAACTTATGCTCAGTAGTTTGATTTGGGAGCTTTTGACTTCATGGATGAATTTACCTACTCAGTGAGTAAGATGTTTTCTTTAGTGAGTACTTGAGAAGGAAGGAGTTGCAGTCTACCTTCTTCGTGTGTGTGTGTGTGTGTGTGTGTGTGTGTGTGTGTGTGTGTTTAAGACATGGTCTCCTCTCGCAGTTCAGGCAGGCCTTGAACTCACTTTGTAGCCCAGGCTGGTCTCGATCTTACAGTGATCCTCCTACCTCTATCTCCCAAATGCTGGCATTACAGGCATGCACCACAATGCCCAACTTAGTCTACCTTCTCAGAAGGAAAAATCATTTTTTCTCTTTGAGTTGAGTTTCTGGGATATTCATTTAATAGTTTAATATACACATGCAAACTGGAGTGGAAATTCTTCATTAATAGCAATGTGAGCTTTTTAAAAACTTTTTCTCAGTTTCCTTCTCCAACCCATGTAAAAGTAAATATCCGTGAAACCTGTTTTGTTTTAATGTATTGAGTACAGGGTCTACTCATAGTAATCCTCCTGTTTTCAGTCTCCCAAGCACTGGGATTACAGACATGTGCCATCATGCCCAGTCTCAATCACTGTCTCAGAGCACTCTTGGGGCAGGGCTGGCATGGCACATGGGGGATTGAACCCCAGCCACTGCGCTCTGCCTAAGCAAGTGCTTTAGTCCACTGAGCCATGTGGCCAGCCCTAAAACCTGTTGTTCTGACAACTACCCTGCACGCACCCCCAGGTAACTATTTGTTAACAAGTAGAGGTCCTACCAGACACCTGCAGCCTGTGCTGGTGGCAGCCCCACTTCTACCTCACCACATGGCCACTGACCAAAGGTGATCCCCTCCCCTCCCCCCATGACCCCTGAATGAACACATCCCTCTCCCTGCCTGAACAAGTTGGCCAGATGCTCCTGTTTCCCAAGCCTTAGGTTGTTTCAGGCCCTTTTTGCTGATAGGGAGCTTCCTGTCTATGGAGGTGGCAGCAGTGCATGCGTACCCCAGTGCTCAGTCTTTCCCCACTCCTGGGCTCAGCTGTAGGATATGGTTGTGCTCTGTGGGGATGTTCTTGTGAGCACCTTTTAAAGGAAGGAGGTTGGGAGAAAGGATTCATCTGGGGAAGGGAAACTTTGTAAAGCAGAGCCCATTCTCCCAGGAACCATGAATCACAGTATCAGATGGACGCTCCTGCAGCTAGAACACAGGACCATGTCTGTGTGGCTTCCTTAGTTGCCAGGGATGACTTTCACTTGCCCTTCAGCAGAGAGGGTTGCACAGAGGGCCGAGCAGCAGCCCTGTGTAGCATGGTAGGTGGGCTCTGCAGGACCTGTGGGCTGCCTGGACCTCCTGGTGCTGTGGTGGGCCAGCCTCTGGAGCAGTCGCAGAGGGGAATGTAGATAGAGCTGCCGGCCTGGGGAACGTATCTCCAGGAAAGCCACCACAGGCTTTGCCCAAAGGGTTCCCTGGAAGCTGTGGTTCTACAGGAAATTTCATGGGTGCTTGTTTTTAAACCAACTGGTAAAAACAGCACAGAATGTAGACACCTGCTGTGGATTTAAGGGTGCATGACCACATCTTCACAACACCCAGTTCCTAGTACCCTGTTTCTGTACCCTGTGGCTGGAGTGAGTGGGCAGGTGTGTTTGGGCATGGCAGGAGCTGCCTGCCAGCTTGTGCTGTCAGGCCCACCTCCTGTGGGCCATGGGTTTGTAAAATGAACTACTCCTGAATATCTCATTGCTTTGCATCTTTGTGGAAGATAGTCGTTGACTTTGGATCTTTGTTTTGGGGCCAAAACATCAAGAGGTGTGGTTGCATCTCTTTAAACATATATTGTCTACTGGAAAATTTTGTGGTCTTGTTGATTCTGAGAGAAATAGTGCGTACTTACAGCACTAAGGATTTTGAGCCTCACATACTTTGCTGTGAAGAAGAGGTGATTGTTCAGGGCACACAGCTGGCCTGGCCCCTGCTCCTTATGAGCCAAGTGAGGCTCTGGACAGACTGAGCCCCCACAGGGTCTTTGTGTCCCTGTGCTGCTTGCTGAGTGACCTATGCCACCCCCACTGCCCAGTGACCTTGAAGATAACAAGTGGTGTGGCACTTCACAGTGAGCTTGGGGTGACCGCTGCCTGGAAGCCTCTTTTTTTTTTAATGGAACCAGGGATTGAACTCAGGCCCTTGTGCTTGCCAGGCAAGTGCTTATTCTACTGAGCCATCTTCCTAGCCCCCCCCCATACCATCCTGTTGCCCTGTGAACATTATCACACTATTAATCATCTGGGAATGTTGCCATCGAAACCCAGTATTAAGAACTGAATCCAGGCCCTTCACACTGACCTACAGCTCCTGCCCTTTTTCTTCTTTTTGAGGCAGGTCTTGTTAAGTTGTAATATGTGTGTGTTACCTTAGTGCTGTAAGCACCTTCCTCAACACGATGTTCACCTTTCAGCAAATAACTGTGTGTAGAGACCAGATAATTATTTCTAACATTTATCTCCTTGACAAAAAAAACATAGCCTTCATGAATACTGCTCTGCTGAACCAGGACACGTCAACAGCTTTTGACAAACTGGTTTCATATCTTTTTGGTAAATACCCAAAATTAAGTTTGCTGGATCCCATGCTGTGTTGACTAAGGTAATTTTGTATTCAGTTTTGAAAAAGACTGTGAGTCTTCCAACTTTGTTTTTCTTTTGTAGGATTCTTTTGGCTACTCTGGGTCCCTTGCTTTTCTGTGTAAGGTGCAAGAGGTGTGGTTGCATATGCATATATATATATATATGCAGTATGTAGATTTTCTGTATGTAGATCATTTAATGTAGATCATTCCATATGTAGACCACACCTTTTAGGCTCAGCTTGTTGATTTATGAGGGGATAAAGCACCTGGAGTTTGGTGGGAATTACATCAAATCAGTAAGTCACTGTGAGCCTTGCCACCTCGTGCTATTAGATCTTCTGGCCCAACACTCGACTTACTTGGCTGTTTGTTGGTAGTGATACTCCCGGGAGTGGTGGCGCACGCCTAACACTCGGGAAGTTGAAACAGGAGGATCACTCGAGACCAGTCTGGGGCTACAAAAGTGAGCACAAGGCCAGCCCGAACTGCATAGTGAGACCCTCAAAAACATAAACACTCTGATACTGTGTTTGGAGACACCTCCAATTTCCTTGGCTTCCTTTCAGATGGCCATGGCTGTTGGATAGAAGTGCAGTCAATTGTGCACTGATCTTATGCCCTGAAGCCGTGGAACTCATGCTTCAGCTCTGATGTTTTCTACTTTTGTGTGGATTCCGTAGGATTTTCCAGATGTAGATCATTTAATTTCTTCTTTTAGTGTGGTGTCTTAAACTGTTGAACCAGCTGAGCACTCACCAGATAAACTAAGTCTGGCAGGATGTGTCAGCCTTCCTGTGCTTTCTTTGGTAGAAATCTTTTTACGTTTCTATTCATAATGAGTGCTGACCTATGCGGTTTTTTGTTTGTTTGTTTGTTTGGGTTTTTTTGGTTATATTTCTGTCTTGTTTTGGTATCAGATAATATTGGCCCATAGAATGAGGTAGGGAATATTCGTTCCTGTATTTGCAGTTTGTAAGGTATGTATTGATTGGTTCATGATATGATACATTTTTTGTGTTTTTGGTTTGGTTTGGTTTGTTTTTTTGAGACAGTGTCTCCTTTGTAATGCAGGCTGGCTTTGAACTAACTGTGTAGCCTGAGTCGGCCTTCAAGTCATGGTAATCCTCCTGCCTCAGCCTCTTGAGTACTGGGATCACAGATGCGCCTCACCACACATGGTTGATGAGAGAGGTTCTGGCTATATAGCCCAGGTCTGTCTCCAGGTCTGAGATCACGGTAATCCTCCTGCCTTAGCCACTCCAGTGCTGGGATTGTAGGCATGTACCACCACGCCCAGCAGCTCATAATCTACTTTTTTGTTTGTTTGTTTGTTTTTGGTGGTACCAGGGATCAAACTCAGGACTTTGTGCTTGCCAGGCAAGCACTTATTCTACTGAGCTATCTCCCTGGCCCCTCATAATCTACTTTTAACCCAATAGTAATACCTTCTTATTCAAGGGCTAGTGGGTACTTGGCACCTTTCAGCCTTGCTGTGGTGGGTGAACACCAACTGAACACTTCTGTGAGCTTTTCCCATCACCCTGGGGCTGGGTGGGAACCCTTCCTGAGCACAGAGCTGGTGCTGCTCACCCCTCCAGCAGTCACCTGGAGGAGCATGCAGCTGGCTGAGCCATGAGGAAGACCCCGGGCCCGTCTCTGAAGGTGTGGGTGGCTCCAAGTGTAAAGAGCAGAACCGAGGCTGCTCTTGTTGCCCCTGTGCCCACACCACTAGGGGCAGCTAGCTGTGTCACACTTGTCTCACAGGCCACATTTGGGGCAACATCTCACCAGTCCAGGCTCCCCAGCAGCTTGCTTCATGCTTCAGATCCACCTCTGACCCATGATCTCCCACAGGTCCCACGTACACAGACCCCGTGGCCGGAAGCTCCAGGGATGACCAGCCCCTCCCCGCGCATCCAGATCATCTCCACTGACTCTGCAGTTGCCTCACCCCAGCGCATCCAGGTACCGTCCCCCACCCTTGCCTTAGACAAATCCCACTCTGCAAAACATAATTGTGATTTACCATTGTTGTTTGGTTTTTCTGAAACAGAGTCTCAGCCGGGAATGGTAGCACACACCTACAATCCCAGCACTCAGGAGGCTGAGGCAAGAGGAACATTGCTAGTTCAAGACCAACATGGGCTGCAAAGTGAGCTCAAGGCCAGCCTAAACTGCATAGGGAGACCCTGTCTCAAAAAGAAAAAAAAAAATAGGGTCTCACTCTGTAGTCCAAGCTGGCCTTGGACTCACTCATGTTTCCCAGGCTGGCTCATAACACATGGAGATCTTCCTGTCTCAGGCTCCTAATGCCGAGATTACTGGGATTACAGGCATGCACCACCCACTGAGCTTTTTTGGGGCTGGGGGGGGGTTTGTATTGTTTTTGAGACAGGGTCTCCTTATGTAGTATAAACTAGCCTTGACCTCACTATATAGCCCTGGCTGGCCTCAAACTCACAGCCATTCTCCTGTCTCAGTCTCCCAAGTGCTGGATTATAGGCATGTGCTACCATGCTCTGCTCTGACTTCCAAAGCAGAGGGCTGGTGAGATGGCTCAGTGGTCTAAAACACCTACTTGGAACAAGCTTGGCAAAGCACAGGGACCGTGGTTCTATCCCCCAGCACCACATGCCAGCCAGCCCCGCCCCCTGGTGGGCTGAGCTGGCTACACACACACACACACACACACACACACACACACACAAAGCAGAAATCTGAACTGTGGGACTATAGCACATGGGAAGAAGGCTCATTTGGATCACTTCCTGGTGCCAAATGGGCTGTCTTCACCAGTAGTCACGTTTCTGACTGCTGGTCAGAGGCATCACTTTCTCCCCTTGGAAACCACATAATAGCAGTGCTTGTGCTGGTGAGGAGCCAGGGTGCTGGCATTTCATGGTGTTCTGTGGGCACTGGCTATCAGTGCCTCGTGGCAAGTCACCAGTGGTGCTGTTTACTAACTGTCACTTCCACCTGTGTGTCAATGAGACAGGGGCCCAGGGCATGAGGATAGTGACAGTGAATGGCAGAGGGGCCAGAGGCCAAATCAGGGCACAGCCATACAGGGGTCCAGGCGCAGCACAGCATGGCCTGGAAGCTTTTGGTGATGAGATGGTCTACAGTAGGTACTGCAGCACTGTTGCTGGGTGTACCCCACGGGGTCAGGCCACTCTTTTTAAAAAGATTTTGCTGGATGTGGTAGCGCACACCTATAATCCCAGCACTCAGGGGCTGAGGCAGGAGGATCATTGCAAGTTTAAAACCATCCTGGCCTACAACGTGAGCTCAAGACCAGCATGAATTGCATATTGAGACCCTGTCTCAAAAAGATAAAAGGGGCCTGGGAAATAGCTCAGTTGAATAAGTGTCTGCCTGGCAAGTGCAAGGTCCTAAGTTTGATCCCTGGTACCAAAAATTTTTTTTAAAAAAGAGAGAAAGATTTTATGAATTTTCTGTTGCAAGTTGGAGCTGAATAAGGATGAGGGATGCACTGTTAAACCTTACATCTTATCTACGCTGGGCATGGTGGTGCACCTCTGTCATCCTGGCTCTCCAGAGGCTGATGCAGGAAGATCACAGCAAATTCCAAGCCAGCCTGTGCTACATAGTGAGACCTTGACTGAAAAAAAAAAAGGCCTTACCTACACTGGGTGCATGTCTTAGGTACTTTTCACTCGTTGCTAGGACAAATTCCCGGCACTCAAAAATTAAGGAGGGAAAGATTTATTTAGCTCAGTTGTGGAGGTTTCAGTCCATACTCAGTTGGCTCCAAGGCAAATGGCAGCAGTTCATGCTGGCAGAAAATAAGAGCAGAGGATGATCGAGAGCTGTGGCATCCATCAAGCCTCTCTCCTCCTTCTACACCATCTGCGCAGACTGAAGTGGTGTAGCTATCTGTGAAGATCAAGCTCTTCCAAAGTGGTACAGCTACAAAGTGGCACAAGGAAGACCAGGACTTCTGGGGGGCGGGGGCAGAAGCCTTCCTCAACTCCTTTATATACACTTTTTGGGCCGAGTCAGTCTCGGCTCTGGGGCACCCTGTTGCACCCTAGGGCGGGCCCAATCATGCCCCAGGGTGGGGCCTGCATGGCAGGGAGGGGCAGGCCCAGCCCGGAACCTGGGGAGCCGATCCAGCCAAGCTTCCGACATCTCAAGTTGACACAGTGTATCAACTACCACAGTGCATATAGAAGCCACAGAATTGTGGCTCTTAGCTTCACCCTGTCTGTGTCTGTAGTGTTAGGAATCTGGGAAGGCATCCTGAGGGGCCATCATCCTCAGGTTGGGAGCTACATGCACTTGCTTCCTGCTGTCCTGGCACTGCTCTTGTCTGCACTAGGGCCTGAACAGGTCCTGATGTACACCTCCCCTGCACCTTGCCCTAGGAAGCCACTGAACACCTTGTTGGGTTCTGCTCTCCAGAGACACAAGGGCAGACAAGGACCCAGGCTGGAAGGCTCTGCAGATTGTGCTGAGGTCTTGATGGAGGTGTGCATCTCTTATTATCACACTAGGCAGCGGGCTGTTCATAGTGTGGTGCTCAGTCCCATAGTGACCCTGAGATGGTATTACTGATCTGCCCTTGGCACGGAGCTGAGGTTGTAGGGAACAGCCTCAAGCAGGTGAGAGTGCCCTGAACAGTGAACAGAGCTGGAAACCTTCCTGTGTGAACTGCGAGTGACACTGGATATAATGGGTACCACAAGGATGGCAGGCCAGACTGGAATTGTGTTGGCTCGGGCTGGACAGACTGAGGATCACTTCCTGTCCCCACTCAGCTGTGTGACTGAGCAGTTCCCAGCTCCCCCTCACCCCTCTACCCCCCACCCCTGCTGTGTAGTATGATGTACCTAATTTGTTAGAGATTATGAAAGGGCCAGTAGAAGGCCTGGGAGCCTGTAGGGAGCAGGACCCGTGACTGCCAGCAGCTGTGCACACTGCTCAGTGTTGCAATGTGCCAGGACAGAGGTCTTTCAGAAGTTAACCATATCATCCGTACCTCTGCCTGCCTTCACTTCCTGCTTCTACAAGTAGCACTGAAGCTGTGATCCTAGCACAAAATCAGCATTGTGAGATTGTTCCAGAAAAGCTCTTGACTGTGTGCACCATGCCTGAAGCTTTTGAGCTCACTAGATGGCCTTGCATTGCCCTGCAGATTGTGACAGACCAGCAGACGGGACAGAAGATCCAGATTGTCACCGCAGTGGACGCCTCAGGCTCCTCCAAGCAGCAGTTCCTCCTGACCAGCCCCGATGGCGCTGGCCCTGGGAAGGTGATCCTGGCTTCCCCGGAGACGCCCAGTGCCAAGCAGCTCATCTTCACCACCTCAGACAGCCTGGTGCCGGGCAGGATCCAGGTGATGCACCACAGCACTGTCCCTGCCTGCCTCAGCCTCTTAATGCTGGCCATGGTTATCCTTGAGGTGCTGGATTTCCTCGTGGCACATAAGCTATAAGAGCCCTTCACAGCTGAGGGCCTCAGCAGCTTAGCCCAGGATATTTTGCCCCATCTGGGACAACCAGGCTAGAGAAGAACCCTTCCTCCAGGCTGTCCTGGCCACCATGTATTCCTAATTCCTTATTTATTTGCATCTGGGTGAATGAACATGATGTGACATCCCACAGGGCCCACTCTTAGGTGTGGGGTGGCATTAGGGTTACTCAGTGCTGTGCCATCCATCTGTACCTCCCTCTTCTCCTGCGTGAAGCCTCTGCTATGGGGGTTTCACATCAGTGCTCCAAAATGGGATACTCTCAAGTGACCGTTCCAGTCCCACTGAACAGTGACTTCTGTTTGTGTGAATCTGATGGCCCCAGGGACCAGCTCATAGCCATGGTCACACAGAGTCTGTCCTTTGTGACAGGCTCGCTTCCTTTAACATGCTGTCTCCATGGCTTGTCATGTTGGAGCATGGGTCTAAATCTCCTGATGGTCAAGTAATGTCCCTCATCACTACAGAAACTGCAGGAGGGAGAGAATGACTTTCTCTGCAGAGCTGGACTCCAAGCCCGGTGTGTTCAGCTTTCGAAGAAGCTGTGTTTTTAGTGCACCCCTGCTTGGTCAGGCAAGGCCATGGCAACACAGTGGTTTGTGTGGTCCCTGCAGGTAGCATTCATGTGGAGACTTGTCCTGGCCTCCCAGGAAAGGTATAAATTCCTTCCTCACAGGGATGAGAGTTACATTGCTCTCCTAGATGGTGGCACTGTGTCTCCAGAGCCACCTACAAGGTGTCAGAAGAAGACATGTGGAGTACCTCCCACATACAGCTGTCCCAGGAGACACACACCTTTCTGAGTCCTTTCTAGTGCTATGTGGAAGGATTTCCCCCTTCTCTAGGGTACTGTGTGCCTCCATGAGACAAATTCTCGGGGGGCTTCCAGAGAGGCAAGTTCTGCTGGAGCCCTAGCCACAGACCACCCTGGTGTCAGCAGGTGTCAGCTGGAGTTTCCCACTCGGCTTAAGCTCCGCTGAGGACCCAGGACAGGAGTCACACCTTTCCCTGCCGGGGAGGAAACAGGAGTTCTTGGTGTGATCCTCTGTGCGGGCGGCAGATCTGTGAGGAGTTAGTGCTGGGGGAAAGCAGCAAATACCAAGAGGTCTGGGCTGTGTGGCCCTCCTGCTCCTGAGGAGGGGGGGATCAGGCTACCTTCCCGGGATGGGGAGCATCCTGTTGCATATCATTCTACTCCTGGTCCGGTTCTGAGTAACCTGTCTGCTGCTCTCCCTAGATCGTCACGGATTCGGCATCTGTGGAGCGGCTGCTGGGGAAGGCCGAGCTCCAGCGGCCACAGGTGGTGGAATACTGTGTGGTCTGCGGTGACAAAGCCTCAGGTAGGTGGCCTGCTGTGAGTGGGGTGTTCAGGAGGCTGTGTGTGTGTGTGTGTGTGTGTGTGTGTGTGTGTGTGTGTGTGTGGTGGGTGTGCAGCCTCCACACTTGGGCTCTGCTCTTCTGAGCAGCCAGTAATGTGAAGAAATAATCAAAGTGGCCTCCAGAATTAAAGCGCAAGAGAGGTGGAGCACTGACTTCTATGAGAAGCCTGGGGCTGTCGTGTTTCTGTGTGGTAACAGTCTGCTTTCCACCTGCACAGGCTCTGTCCTTCCACAAGAGGCCTTCCGGGTGATGGTCCTAGGAGGCAGCCACCCCTGGAGGCCCAGTAGCTGCACCCAGCAGGGACAGTGCCAGCCTGTGCCATGTGTGGAAGGCTGTGGAGGAGGGACCTGGATGACAGGGTCAGATCACACAGTCACTGGGAAACAGGAGCCCAGAGGCGCTGACAGCCCAGTTGCAGATGGCCATTTACTTGCCTGGGTTTGGTTATTTGTGTTTATTTAGAAAGGAAGCCAGGGTGGTGGCACACACCCATAATCCTAGCACTCAGGAGGAAGAGGCAGGAGGATCATCACAAGTTGGAGGCCAGCTTGGCTACAAAGTGAGCTCAAGGCCAGCCATAACTGCATAGTGAGACCCTGTCTCAAGAAAGAGGAAGGAAGGAAGGAGAGGGAGAGAGAGAATGAGAGAGAGAAAGACAGACCGACCATAGCCTCTGGGCAGATGGCCGGGCTGCCTGCCCTGCTCCCCATCCCTGGAAGGTAGCCTGATCCCCCCCCTCCTCAGGAGCAGAAGGGCCACACGGCCCAGACCTCTTGGCATTTGCTGCTTTCCCCCAGCACTAACTCCTCACAGGTCTGCCTCCCGCACAGAGGATCACACCAAGAACTCCCGTCCCCTGCCTGGCACCTGATGGGGCTGATGGTCACACACAGCCCCTCCCCCCAGAGCACAGTCCCTCGGGAAGGGAAAGCAGTGCTCTCAGGGTGGTTTTAGCACTGTCGTTCCTAGAAGAGCCAACTTAGGGTCACCCAGGTGTACTCTGGGAAACAGCTCCAACCCAGGAACTTAATTAAGGCAAGGGACCTCAGTGGCCACCAGAAGAGAGCATCCCGTGGCACACAGTGTCCCTGTAGTGTCATGATGGCATTGGCCAAGGCTTGCATCCACCAGGAGAAAGGAGAGAATCTGCATGGCAGTGCCTCGTGCTCCAGGAGGGACCCGCCAAGGCAGGGAGCTCTTTCCTGTTATGGGTGTGGAGTTGCCTAGAGAGGTTGCAGCAGTTGGGTCTGCTCCCACAGTTCTGAGGCCCAGCCAGCCTCGCCTGGCCCCGTCACACCCCGGGGAAAGTAGGACCAGGGTGTGCGATGGCCCAGAAGCAGCTATGCCAGACACAGGTGTCCTGCTGCACACAGAGGAGCCCGGAGTCCTCTGCTTGCGGGGGCTGTCCTGCGACAGGTGCTGAAACCCCACACAGACATGATGTGGCACTCACCACCCTCTCCTTCCAGGCCGGCACTATGGGGCTGTCAGCTGTGAAGGCTGCAAGGGCTTCTTCAAAAGGAGCGTGAGGAAGAATCTGACCTACAGCTGCCGCAGCAGCCAGGACTGTGTGATCAACAAGCACCACCGCAACCGTTGCCAGTTCTGCCGCCTAAAGAAGTGCCTGGAGATGGGCATGAAGATGGAGTGTGAGCGAGGCCACCTGGGGGGTGGGCTGGCTGGGAGGGAGGCTGCTCAGCCGCAGCTCCACTTCTGTCTGTGTGGCCAGAGTGGGCAGGGCGGGGCATGCCAGTCCTATCCCTGAAGGACCCGCTGCCTCCTGGCCCCTGACCCCACCCCTGCCCCATCGTCCCACTCCTTCACTGCAGGGAAAGCTGGGCTTAGGAACTGTAAATCTAGCTGCCTGGTGGAGGTCACTTCCCGTCTTGGTAGGGAAAATTTGAGCCCAAGAGGTTCTAAGGGCCTGGGGTCACAAGCTGGGCACACTCACCACCTGGACCAGACAGCAGCCCTGCTGAGGGCACCTGGCCTTGAGGGAAGACTGCACACAATGCATTTCAGTACAGTTCACTGAGGACCTGTGTCCTTTGAGACATTAGAATGGTCAACCCACGGTCTGCCTAGTTTGATGTTTTTATTTTATGCACTGATTTTATTTTTCTTCAAAGCAAATAAGCAAGCTGAGTGTCCTTCCAGACTATGAGGCTGAAGCTCAGTCTGGGCTATCCAGCAACTTAGGATGACCCTGTCTCAAAATAACAAATAAAAAAGGACTGAGAATGTGGCTCAGTGTAAAGACCTTGGGTTCAATCCCTGGTACCCAAGGAAGAAAAATACCAGAAGCACCAGCTTGGCACCGGCTGGTCCACGCTGCCCTGTCCCCATCAGTGATGATGTCTGTGCTCTGAGCAGAGCCTGGAATTAGCCTTCCGCAGCCGCAGCTAGAGCTGCACACTGAGACCAGTTGGGCTTCAGCTTGGCTCCTGGACACCCAAGCGAGCCTCTGGGCTTTGAGTCTCCTGTTCAGGCCACCTTCCCTTCTTCCATGGCCTGTGGCACTTGTGGTGCCAGACTGCGGACGGATGGGTAGGGATACTCTGCAGTCTTGAGGCTCTTGAGGCTGGGTGGGGATGGAGGGCTCCCCGGCTGTGTGGCCTGGACGATCTCTGTGAGTATCCATATGCCCTGGGTCCACCCTGGTACTGCTGGCTCCAGATCCCTGCTGCACAGCTGTGCAGGGGGGGTAGCTTTGGTTGGTCGGAGTCCTCTCTAAACATGAGTCTCTCTTTCTGTTTAAAGCTGTGCAGAGTGAGCGTAAGCCCTTTGATGTACAGCGGGAGAAGCCAAGCAACTGTGCTGCTTCCACAGAGAAGATCTACATCCGGAAGGACCTGCGGAGCCCCCTGATAGCCACACCCACTTTTGTGGCTGACAAGGACGGTGCAAGGTCAGCCCCTGTTCCCTACAGGTCTGCACAGGCCATGTCTCCACCCAGCACAGCAGTTGTCCTGTAGCTCAGCATCCAGGCGAGGTTGCAGTGTACACAGCATATGAGCTGAGGTCTCCAGCGGAGTGCAAGTTAACAGTGCCTTCTTTTCATAGTCTGTGAGCTTGTTAGGAAGGAAAGGGGAAGAGGGAAGCCAGGCTCCACAGGGCATCAAAGAGAGAGCATCAGATCTGCCCAGGGGATGTAATGACACCCAGTCCCTAAGCTATGGCCAGGGTGGACCCTGGGGCCCCGCAGAGTCTGGTAACTCCCATGTGGCTGCTGGAAGTCACTCTGGTTTCTCTGTCTTAAGCAGACAGCCTGGTCTTCTGGACCCAGGGATGCTCGTGAACATCCAGCAGCCCCTGATCCGTGAGGATGGGACAGTGCTCCTGGCCACAGACTCCAAGGTGAGGCGTACCCTGCTTCCTCCCCTCCCTGCCTCACACAGCACCCTGGGACACTTTGCTCAGGGACACTGACTTTTCAGAACCCTCACTTGACCGGGGCTGGTGGACAGATCCACTGTCAGGTCCTGGGTTCTGGACTTCAGGGTGACAAACACTCTGCGACTTGTTCACTGCTCAGATTTTCCCTGGTACACATTGGGTGGCCTGCCGCCTACACATGTTGCCCTTTGCGAAAGCCCCAGTTCCTTTTGTAGCACTGAGGATTGAACCTAGGTCCTTCACACTGAGCTATATCCCCAGTACTTTGAGACAATTGCCCAGCTTAGCCTTGAGTTTTCCATCATCCTGCCTCAGCCTCCCAAGTAACTGGGATTATAGACATGTAGCACCACACCCAGTTAGGAAATTAATTTATAACAACACACAGCACTAGTGTAAACTACTGCAATCTAATTATTGCCACTGGAGGAAGGAGGATGAATGCAAAAGGTGTGTGGCACTTACCTAGTCGGGATAGGGAGAGAGCTCCGCAGTTGGCTGCCCTACCCGCCCTCCCTGAGGCAGAGCCATATGAGCCTGGCAGAGGCTGCTAGGAAGGAGAATACATGAAAAGCTGAATAAGGCTTGCAGGAGTAGCTTTGTCAACTTTATTTTGAAGTAATCATACATTCAAAACAACGTCACAGGCATGGCAGTGCACGCCTGTAATCCCAACACTTAGGAGGCTGAGGCAAAAGGATCACTGCAAGTTCAAGACCAGCCTGGGCTATGAAGGGAGCTCAAGGCCAGCCTGAGCTGCATAGTGGGACCCTGTCTCAAAAAGACCCCAAAAAATAAATAAATCCACATTGAAATGAACACAAAGCTTTCAGAGGCACCTGTAGCAGGGTTATCTGAGGTTCTGTCACACAGAACTGGGGGACAGTGTGATACTGGGCCTTGTGAGTCTGTGGACAAATGTGTCCTCAAGCCACATGCCCTGCAGCCTCCCTGCTGCTGTGTCTACTCCAGGGCCCTGGGGCGCTTACCACCTATGACCTCTCCATGGGCTTTAGTTTTCCCTTTTATTTCTCACTTGTTCTAAAGCTGTAATTCATTTTGTTTGTTTATAAACAACTGTAATTTTGGAAATATTTGTCAGTATATGTTGGCAGCATGGCATGAAGTTTCTCACTTTCATAATCAAGACACATTTGTCCCTGTATCTTGGTTCATCTCTGCTTGTTCTGTAACACCGTACCGCCTCACCCCCACTCTGTGAGGGACTTGGTTTGAGCAGCTGTCCTCCCCACTCCAGGGTGCTTCCCTCATCCCTAGAAGTGGCCACTGATGCCTCTGTCACCAAGGGTCTATGCACGTGGTCCCTGGCATCCATCTTGTGGTCACCATGCACAGCTACCCAGGGTCCTTCCTCAGCATTGCCAGACTGGTACGTGGTGTGGCTGTGCCCCCGCGCTCCCCTTAGCACTGACTGCTGGGTTCTAACAGTTTCTACTCTGAGTGGGAGGTGGCAGCTTCACTGCTGCATCAGTCATGCCTGATGGCTGCAGCTGTGACTGTGACCTGGTCCTGCTCCTCCTCAAGGGTATCAGAGTGGAGCCACTGGGGCTTTGGTTCCATTTGCTGCCCTGCCACACCTCTGCCTGTGCCTACCAGTCACTGTGTCCCCCTTAGGAGAGTCACTGTCTCAGGTCCTCGGCATGTTGAATCAGGCTGTCGTTGTGTTGTTGAGCTTCAGAGGTCTTTAGATGCCCTGGCCACTAAACCCTGTCACCCCCTGGACTCAGACTGGTTTTCATCTTTCTGCTTGTGTCCTTCAAACCACAGGCATTTTGCTTAGTGAAGATCAGTTATCAAAGTTATTCTTCTGTCATTTTATCCCTATCCTGTGGTGTCAGTGGGCGTGGATCTGTGTAACTGCCATACCCGAGACACAGCAGTCCCATCATCACACACTTCATGTGCCCCTAGAAGCAGTGCCTGTGCTGTGTGACACCCTTGACCCCGTGTGTGCCTTTATAACACCGCCACTTGTCCCGTAGGCTGAGACAAGCCAGGGAGCCCTGGGCACACTGGCAAATGTCGTGACCTCTCTGGCTAACCTGAGTGAATCCTTGAACAACGGCGACACCTCAGACATCCAGCCAGAGGACCAGTCTGCCAGCGAGATCACTCGGTATGAGCGAGGTGCCTGCGCTCTCTGTGAGGATCAGGAGCTATAAAGTTGTCCCAGGAATGGGCATGTCCACAGTTACACTGCTTTTTGTCCCAAATGATAAAAGGGGATATTCAGCATGCAAGGGTGGACAGTGCTCGCTGTCACTCCTTTTAAGTCACCTTCATGATGATAGCCCCTCCCTGCTTCAGTGTTAACCTGTTCTGAGTTGTGAGTTTAGAGCTCAACCACCAGGGACTGGCCACAGTGGCAAGTGGGGACGCAGTAGACGCCTGCATGCTATGCTCGGCCTGACTGGTTCCCTCTACTACTGTCCTGGATGCCAGGTATGGTCCTCGTGATTTTCTGAGGATTTTGTTTTGTTTGGGTTTTGGATTGTTCTGTCTTTTGAGACAGGTCTCACTGTGTAGTCCAGGCTGGCCTCAAACTCATGGCAATCAGCAACCCAAATACTGGGTATGCACTACAATGCCCAGCTGGGTTTTGGGACTTTTGTTGTTTGATTTTTTTTTATTTTTTATTTTTTTTGCGGAACCAGGGATTGAACTCAGGCCCATGCACTTGCCAGGGAAGCGCTTATTCTCTGAGCCACCTCCCCGGCCCAATACATTTATTGCCATCACACATTTTTTTTTTTCCCGCAGAACCAGGGATTGAACCCAGGCCCTTGCGCTTGCCAGGGAAATGCTTATTCTACCGAGCCATCTCCCCAGCTGTCTCTCTTTTTTTTTTTTTTTGAAACAGAGTCTTACCTGCAGTTCAGGCTGGCCTTGAGCTCTCCTTGTAGCCTAGACTGGTCTCAAACTCACAACAATCCTTCTGCCTCAGCTTCCCAAGTAGTATGATTACAGGTGTGCACCACCATGCCCAGCCTGCTGTTTGATTTTGATTTGAAGTAGAATCTCACTAGACAGTCCAGACTGTCCTTGAACTCACAATCCTCCTGCCTCAGCTTCCCTCATGCTGGGACCCCAGGTGTGCCCACTTGCCTGCTAGTCCTGTTTACTTAGTCTGACAGCAGAACTCAGGTCACAGGATCTGAGTCAGGTAGAATTCTGGTCCCACCACTTACTGTGGGGGTGGCTTGGGAGGCTCTTAACACTATGAGCAGTGACATCTAGGTGGAAAGAAGCTCTGCCTCTCTGGAAGATGGGTGTGAGAAGGAGCACCCAGCTTGGGGGTCTCTCCAGACATTCCTCAGACCTTTGGTGGGCCTGCTGTCCCTTGTGGGAGCTGTAGAGCTCCAGGCCCTCTAAGCTGCAGACCCATTGTACAACCCACTCTGTTTGCTTGCAGGGCATTTGACACTTTAGCCAAAGCACTTAACACTGCAGATAGCGCCTCACCCCCTGGCTTGGCAGACGGGCTGGATGCCAGTGGAGGAGGTGGCATCCACGTCATCAGCAGGGACCAGTCCACACCCATCATCGAGGTTGAGGGCCCGCTTCTCTCAGACACACACGTCACATTCAAGGTGAGCGGCGGGATGGGGTGAAAGGCTCTGCACCAAGGCAGCCCCAGGACCCAGGGTTCCGTGGCAGCATCCCTATAAGGGCTGTCATGTTTCCAGATGCACTGATGGCCTGTGGCCACTGGGGGTGAGAGCTATCCATCTCCCCACTATCCTCCAGAGCCCAGGAAGTAGATGGGCCACTCCGGGGGTCCTGCCACCCCAGCCTTGCAACAGTGATCTAGTGCTCACACTGGAGGGTCCCTTTCCATGCTGCCTGTGGCTACCCTGGGCAGGACACCATCCACAATGAGGGGACACTGCTCTGGCATGCAGGCATCTGTCAGCTCTCTACAGAATGACCCTATACCCAGGATCCCACTTAGACCTCAGCTCACAGCCTGGACCCAACAGAACAGATCTCAACATGGCCACTACCTTTCAGAGGATGAGACCCCAGCTCCCTGAGGCAGCACATGCACCCCTAACCTCCATACCATGTGCTCACAGCTGACGATGCCCAGCCCAATGCCGGAGTACCTCAACGTGCACTATATCTGCGAGTCTGCGTCACGCCTGCTCTTCCTATCCATGCACTGGGCGCGCTCCATTCCAGCCTTCCAGGCATTGGGGTAAGTGGCCTGAGAGCAGATGTGCTATCTATATGCCCCTCAGTCAGTGCCCTATGTGCTGAGGGCTGGGGCCAAGGCCCCGAGCAGCTGTGCCTTGGTGCTACCTGGGTACAGCATGGGCACACAATGACAAGGACTGCAAATGGCAGAGTCACTGGGTCAGTGATGTGTGGAACACCTGAAGGCAGGCCAAGCATGCAGCGCAGCTGGTACCCTTCTATCCCCAGGCAGGACTGCAACACCAGCCTGGTACGTGCCTGCTGGAATGAGCTCTTCACCCTTGGCCTGGCGCAGTGTGCACAGGTCATGAGCCTATCCACCATCCTGGCCGCCATCGTCAACCACCTGCAGAACAGCATCCAGGAAGGTAGGGTGGTAGGGCCAGGCCAAGACTGGAGCGGGGCCAAGGGCTGGGATAGGCAGGCAGGACTAGAGGACCCTCTCAGTCCTTTGCCAGCCAGAACATCTGCTGCCTTGCAGACAAGCTGTCAGGCGAGCGTGTGAAGCAGGTCATGGAGCACATCTGGAAGCTGCAGGAGTTCTGCAACAGCATGGCGCGACTGGAGATAGACGGCTACGAGTACGCATACCTTAAAGCTATAGTTCTCTTTAGCCCTGGTAAGATATGCGGTGGGGATGTGCCACCTTTCCACTGTGTCTGCTGCCGTTTCTGAGCGTGATCGTGTTGTCACCAGCAGTGTAGACAGAGCCCCACCAGACTGTGTGTGACCCATGTCCTCACACCCCATCCTTTGTTGGCTGCCCTGTGCTGCTATCCTAAACCCATCCCCCCACCTGGGGATGTCAGGCACTGAGCAGCTTGGCTGGGGTCTCAGCTTCCCCACCTGCCGCCCAGGACAGCAGAATGAAGAGCAGGCACCCGGCCCTGTGACCTTGATGCTCTCAGCCTCCATTAATGCCCAGAGCCGCTAGCATGCCAACCTCGACAGATGCAGCTCCCCAGGGCAGTGGTTGAGGCAACTGCTCTAGATTATGCCTGGTGGGCTGGTGGTAGCATCTGAAAAGGAGGCAGTGGACTGCCTTGGAGAGTGTGGCACCCACCTGTCCCCCATCCCCGAGAGCAGCTGCCACCCCCATGTGCAGCTGGGCATGCTCAACCTTGCTCCTCCCCCTAATTAGGATAGCATAGCTAATAAAAATAGAGATGATGTATAACCTAGAATCTAGTAATTGCTAATTTCACATAACTTTAGGATCTGCATTTCCTAAAGAGGAGAAACCAATGTCTAGAACCATTGGGCAGGGATGCTCAGCTGGGGAGGGCCCAGCTGAGGAGCCCTGAACCTTGGGCCCCTGTCCCAGCTAGACTAGTGTTCCATCCACTGTGCTTGAATGTCTGTCAGGTTTTGACTAAAGTGAAATTCTAGGGAGTCTGCCACTGCACCTCCCAAATGCAGAGGGGAACTTGGGGTCCTTTCCTGTTCCAGATCACCCAGGTCTAACGGGCACAAGCCAGATTGAGAAGTTCCAGGAGAAGGCCCAGATGGAGCTGCAGGACTATGTACAGAAGACCTACTCTGAGGACACTTACCGGTGAGGACAGCCCACCAAGGCTTTACCTCAGCCTGGGGTGGCACTTTCCACTGTGCTTGGCTAATAGGAGTGGAGGCTAGGTGATCTTGAAGCCAGCCCAAGGTGGCCTGAATCTCCAGAGTATGTTGTCACCGCCCAGCGCCTTCCCCCCTCCACCTTCCAGCAGTACAGAGCCCTAAACAAGGCCAGGTAGGGCTTATGGAAGATAATGACTTTACCCCAGATAAACTGATCTCAAAAGTTCCTTTATTTGGGTAAAAGTTAATTACAGGTATTGTTTGTAACAGCAGGCAGCTAGATGAACTATAAATAGGCACAGCACCAGAGCTACAGAGAGCAAGTCCCTGCCATGCCACCTTGCATGTCACTCATTTCCTGCTAACCTCCCCGCCCTGTCCCCTAAATAAAACTCAATCCACAGGGCTGGGGAGATAGCTCAGTGGAATAAATGATTGCCTGGCAAATGCAAGGTCCTCAGTTTGATCCTTGGTACCACTAAAAAATTGAATAAATAAAATAAAAAAAAATAAAATTCAATCCACAGAAACACGACTAGGGCAGGCTTGCCACATAGCCCAGAGCAAGTCTGCCCTGCTGGGCCTCGAGCCCACTAATGCCAGGACAGTCCCCAATGGTTCTGTATGGGATGGTAACTCTGGGGGGGCACACCAGTGGACAGCAGCCTCTCCTCTGTGACCTTGGAACAGCCACTACCTGCCAGCTCCAGCCCACAAGCACCTCATGCTCAGGGACCCCTTAGGTCCCTACACTGTGGCCTTAGAAAGTAGTTAGGCTGGTTCTAAGAAATCCTCATTCACTCCTGAGCCAGCTGTCATCTTGGAGGTGACAGGCAATCTGGACTTTCTGAAAAGATCCTCCAGTTCCTAGAGCCAATGCCAGCTTTGGTATGCTTGTGGGCCAGGCTATCCTCCCCTGGGGCCTGAACCCTCCCAGAACCGCTCCACCCTGTGCTGTCAGCCACTTCCAGGAAGGCCCCCAACCCAAGTTAGCTCTGCCACCTCCAGAGCCTGGTCGGCATGAGATCTGGGTGCCATGTCTCTTCCATGTGCCCAGCAGGATGAATAATGCTCCATGTGCAGTTCAGATACATGCTGTCTTCTGAAAATAACATGCTCACTGTAGAAAATAAAACATCCCAGAGAGAAAGAGGGAAAACTTACTCCAATGAAAAGCACTATTAACATTTTATGTTTCCTTCCAGAAACTTTTATATGTAGTGTTATTAGAATCATAAAACCCAAAAGATTTTCTATAACATTTTTCTATTAAATATAAATGACTATTTTCATGACTGACCTCTCCCTGCTATGGGAAGGCAGCTGGACTCAGTTCAGGCTGTGGTGCTGTGGCCTCCCCACCTCTGCCCCGTAGGCCAGTTCCCATCCACAGGTCTGTGGCCCTCCAAGCACAGTATCCTCCTGCTGGTCTCTGTAGATGAAACCATCTTTGTCTAATTGCAGTGTTAAGCAGACACAGGAAAGGAGGGCCACACACAGCTTTTCTAGGACAATCATTCCAATCTAAGCCCAGACTCAGCACTGGGGTGATGCCCATCCAAATGTGTATACAGACTGCTGTGTGCACACAGCATGGCTCCCTTGTCCCTCATCCTTGAGCAGTGTCCCATGGTCTGTCATCCTCTGTGGTGTGAATGCCTACAGTCCTCCCTTAGCATAGGGTACCTGGCCCTAACCTCTATCTGCTGCTGGGTTTCTAAGTTTCCATTCTTTCTATCTTCCCTAAGAAGGTGGGCACAAACGCTAACAGAGAGAGCACACTTATGTGCACCTTTGCATTTCTGCCTCCAGACTTCTGTGAAAGGAGCCTGATGCTGAGTGGGCAGGATCTGCTAAGTGGCCAGCCCAGGCCAGGGCAATGCCGGCCCCTTGTCTCACATTGCACCCTCTTGCAGATTGGCCCGGATCCTTGTACGCCTTCCAGCGCTCAGGCTGATGAGCTCAAACATCACTGAAGAACTCTTTTTTACTGGCCTCATTGGCAACGTTTCAATAGACAGCATAATCCCCTACATCCTCAAGATGGAGACAGCGGAGTACAATGGCCAGATCACTGGAGGCAGCCTATAGGCACTGTGCCCAGCCGGCCAGGGCTCCCAGGCCCCTCAGACCCCAGAAGACAGTGGCAGACAGAGCCCGGTATGTGCAAATGTTTCCATGTCCGCCACTCCCCACCTGGTTTCTTCTTACCATAACCCCAGGCAGTCTTGACTGAAGGCCAGGATCCTTTCCTGCCGTGAGAAATGTTTTCATGCCTTTTGATGAAGCAGCTGACTTTGGAACAACCTTTTAACTCAATTTGTATTTCAAATTTCTCAAAGGGCAAAAAACAAAAATGAAGTTTTATAATGTCAGAGACTAGTATTAAAACTAAAAGAACCTAAGAGAACAGTATGCCTGTAAATATATTAAAAAATGTCCTTGGAATTAATAGCTACTAATTACCAGGGTAACAACATTAGCACTTTCTAAGCACTTCTTACCAGAATCTGTGACATTAGCAGCATCTTGCCTGTGGGCAGGGCAAATGGAAAACTTTTACTGAGATGCTCATGATCCCTGTGGAAACGCACTGGGCCACAGGAGACAATCAAGCACTTAAGGAAGGAAGGATCATTCCTGTCGGTGTGCACACTGGTGTCAGAGGGCATCACGCCGTTCATGGGAGCATGGTGGCCCAGTGGCAGGAACCCAAACCAGAAGCCACCAACAACTGGCTGAGGATCCTCACAGTCCTGGCCTGTAACAGAGTCTACAGACTACAGGAACCTGGGTTCTACACTGAGGGGCTCAGAGTGCAGCCCCGCAGACCCTCACCCAGCTAACTCCACTGGCATTGGAAACATCGTCACCACTACTCAGAGCAGCAGAGCTCCCTACCCAACATGTACAGCAGACACTTGGAACCTTGACACCCCTTGGAACTCATCCCAGTGGCTTCTGCACCTCCCGCTCCTGGTACCCTGAAGAAGGGCCTGTGTGTCTCTGAGGCACTAGAACTGTGCAGTCAGACGGGGCCGTGCTGCACTCTCGCTAGACCTATGTGCTGGCGCGAGCATCAGGATGGTCCTTTGTGGCTGGTTAAACATCAGGGACCCTACCAGAGTCCCCACACCTGTCATCTCTCCTGTGAGCCTTTTGGAGCTTTTGCTCAATGGACACAGCAGCAATGGCTCCCAATCCTGATGTTACATTCTCTTTCTGCAAAAATGAGTGACTGGTTTGCAGTGAGAACAGACTCACCGGGACTGTGCCAGGCACCCCGGGTTTCTATCTGGGCTGGAGTAAGAAAGCCCTTCCTGTAGGATGAGGTTTGCATCTGCTGGGATTGTAAATTGGATCTGGCTTTGCAGAGTCCCAAGGGTTGCCAGCTACCACTGCTCACTCTCATAAAAAATGAGTGTGCATGGCATGTCTGGCTCCTGAATTGCCATTTGGATCTTGGGGTGTCCTCACAGGTCACACCTGGGAGGCAGTCTTGGGGACATCAGGTGGCCAGTATAAAATGATGATATAATTTTGCCAGCTTAAAGTATGATTTAGTTTTTTAACCTAAGTGTTTTAAATTTTAAAATTAAAGACTGCCCAGGACTGAGGGGTTTGGTGGGTCCCCTTCCTCTGCCTGTAAAGGATTCCAGTTGAGGTGTTGCCAGGGGCAGTGTGTCCTGTCACCACAGCTCACAAGCTGCCCCATCCTACTCCTCAGGATCTGGTGTGAGTACCCTTGAGGGACAGGGCACATGCAGAGCTCAGGGACAGCACTGAAGAAGAGTGGCTTTATGTGTGAAGCTGCTGACTCTGACCAGTGCTGGCCAATTCCAGTGGCTATAGGGCATCCCAGACCCTTGGCCTTGTCTTTGAGGGTCACATCACATGCCCAGTCTCGCTGCCTGAGGTCATTTCCAGCCTTCAACTGTGCGTCTTGTCAGATGGGTTCAGGTGTCCACCCAGGCTGGGGATAGTGTAGTTTCCCCTCAGTCCTCATCTGGAGTAAGTGGGTATACCCTGAGCCTACGAGGTGGGACCAGCCCTCAGTGAGGGACACAGCTTGGCAGCTGTTTCAAAAGTACATGGAGTAACTGTGGCTATGTGTCTCTTTCCAGAACCATTTCAAACAGTGCTGCATTAGGACAATTGTGTGGTCCATGTGTGGTGGTCTTTACAGGTGTGAACAGGACAGAGCAGACAGGAAAAGACCAAACTCCTTCAGCAGTGATTCTTAAGTTCCTCCTGGAGGGTGTCTAGAGGTGTCAGGCAGTCCTTCTAGTGTGCAACAAGTATATGCATAAAAGAACCTGCATTTACTGTCCAACCTCTGCTGTAGCCTGTGGCATGGGGTCATCAGGGTAGTCACGTATGCTCTGCCCTCAGACTATCATCTGGCTTGTCACAGTATTAGAGGTTGTTCAGAGGTGGCCCAGCAACCACACTGCACGAGCCCTAGCAAGGGGCCAGTGATCACAGGCTCTGAGGTGGCAACACTGTCCTCAGGAGGTCTGCTGTCTCTAGAATCCCAAAGCTCGCTCTCTACCTTTTAGCTTGAACATGTGACAGGTAGTGAGATGGCAAATGGCATTGGTGCTCCCATGGCCAGACACAAAAGCTACCATCTGACACCCCTTCTGCCCATCCACTTCCTCTGCCCAGCTCAGCCTCTAGATTGTGGTTTTTGGAGAACATCCAGAACCAGCCCCCAACCAGACAGGGTGGCCCAGGTCTCCAGAGTATACATGTGTCTACACCTATGTACAGTATACATAGCATGCACCCATATAATAGGTGTAAATTATGTGTACAGTCTCAGCCACCACCCAGCCACCACCGTGACAGCTAAGAGAGATCCTACGGTATGAGCATTCAAGGGCACTGTGACAATGGCCAGGGCCCAGATGGAGCTCAGACAGGAGCAGTCCAGGCCAGGGCATTTGTCTGTGTCCTCTAGGTCCCAGGGGCTAGGACAGTGGACAGTGCAGCCCAACAGCCAGGACTAGTGGCTTTTTCTACACCAACTCCTCTGACTTCTGATGGATCCTGGTAATAGCCAGTAGCCTCCCTAGGCACTGGACCCATTTGCCAGGCTAAGACGACATGGCCTGTCTGCAGGCTGCTTCAGGGTGGCAGCATCAGTGCTCCCTTGTGGGCCCTAGCCAGATGCACCCACCCCTCAGTATAGGGCCTGCCAAGTTAATCAGATAGCACTGCTGTCAGCTCACTGTGGTGGCCCGAGTATAACACACCTTAAATCACTTCCAACTGTGAGCATGCAAATGAAACCTGCTGGCTTAATTCCTTTTTGTAACTTAGGGTTTGCATTCTTGGGGTAAAAACTACTCTAATATAGATGTGTTCACCCTGAAAATTGCATATGCCAATTTTCTTTGCCAGATCTATTGTGCTATCTCCTGTATGTAGCCAGCTTTCCACTGAAATACAGGACTTGCAGATAGATAGCACAGGAGCTCCCGGGAGTTGTGCTCGGGTCTGAACTAAGCTGGCCTGCTGTTAGAAACACTTCATGCAGCCACAGCACTCAGTGCCTTTTGTGAGACATGGGTTGCTAAACCTTCCGCATCCCTGCTCTGATGTTACAAGAGCTTCCACAGAGTCCCAACCCTAGCCTGTTGTGACAATCACACTAAAGAAACTGACTTTCCAGTCAAGAAGGGGAGCCTGATTGTCTCTAAATGACTTTAAAATATGGGGGGGGGGGGCACCTGTTACATTAGCAACCTAATAACAAACTGAGAGATCATATTTTTAATGTTCCACTATACTTCCATTTAAGAAGATAAATTTTGGTCTTGATAGTTACACACAAAGTCCCCAACACCATTTACCAATTCAGAGTGCTTTAGTGTTTAATGCAGAGGTAACATCAGGAAGGGGCAGACTGACAGCAAACCCAGCTCTTTATGAAGAAAGGACCCTCCTAGGCCAGGCATACAGCTCAGTGTAATAACCACCTGCCTGGCAAGTGCAAGGTTGAGTTCAATCCCTGGTACGGTACCCGCCCTCCCCCCCCCAAAAAAAAAGACCCTCTTGTCGCTGTCAACACTGCCACTGCACACAACTCAATCCTGGAACCTTTTTCTACCCTGAAACCAGTGTTCAATTAGTTTTATACCCAAAAAGCTGTGTCTTTCTCAGCACCGCCCATAGCTCCTGCTGTAGTTCGGCCCTCTGTTAACATGTAGCTGTGTTGCCAGCCCCTTTGAGACGATGTCTGTTAGAGGAGAACCGGGTGTTGGGACCGTTTCTGTAACCTCTGCCCTTCACAAGATAGAAAATACTGTTCATGCCATTACCTTCTAATTCCAGGTTCCAAACCTGCTGGAAGCTATGGCTCTACACAGCTTCCTTCCTGTACGAATCAGCTTTGTTACGTGATGGCATTTAAAAACTAGCATGTTCTTTTTAAAGTGGATTTTATATCTAATCAGTGTCTTCAGTCTTGAAGAATCTGCATTGTTGTGTTTGTATATAGAGTGTCACAGTGCATGAATTAGCTTTATGCATTTTATTAAATGCTGTTTCGATGTGGCATTACTGTTGTGGCTTAATACTACTACCTACATGAGGTTTATACCATTAAAAGTGGATTAAGGCTATCTGCATGGCTCCTCTTTTCTTCAGAGCTATGGCAACACTGACCTGGTCCAGGTGGGGTGGGGGACTCGGCAGCCACCGCTATGAGACAGGATTGAGGACCTGAGCTACAGGCATCATGAGTAGGAAACCAGGGTGAGACAAGACTGCCAAGTATGTGTCCAGAGGGTGGAGTACAGTGGTGCCATGTCAGACTGCCAACCACCAAGTCCTCTCAGGAGGGTTCTGTTGTCCTGGGGGAAATGTGCACTTAATTCAGAAGTTAGCTGCGAGTGGTGGTGCACGCCTGTCATCCCCACACTCAAGACCAGCTAGGCAACACAGCAAGACCCTGTCTCAAAAAAAAAAAAAAAAAAAAAAGATTTGAATAGGAGTTAACTCAGTATTGTGACCACTCATTTTACAAGCCCTGTCGGCTCAGTGCAGCCAAAGAGCTTTAAATGGCACAGCCCAGCAAACCCTAAATAATAAAAACTAGTCACATCATAGAAACAAGGGCAAAACCACCCATGGAAGGCAGCTTTGAATAGGAGTGTTCATGTGCAAAACTGCTCAAGTCTCTTCCCAATTTTCCTCACTTGCACACATTTGTAGTTAAGCCCATCTTTTATCACCACTAAGGGACAAGAGAGAGGATTAGGTGAGAAGGCCCATTGGTGCTGGCTCCCACCTGCTGTCATCTGGCTGTGACAGTCCACACCCTTGCTAAGGGTGGCCATGGAAATGACTGGCTGCGCGCTCTGCAGCATCGACCCCAAACACCACAGCACAGGGACAGCAACCTGAGTGCCCCAACCCGGCAGCCAGGCAGAAGAAGGAGGGCCTCCTCTGCTCCCTCCAAAATAGCCACAGGGGAAGAGCAAAGGGCCACCCTGGTATAACAGGTCACTCATACACGCCTGTCACACAGCAGAATCCCTGCCTACCACCCTCACCTGAACCGCAAACCAGAATAGGGTAGCAGACACAAGACAGAAACTGCCCGCCCAGCGTGGTTACCTCCAGTGCTGACGCATCATACTGTGACTTCTGTCACCACACTGGCCAGTGACCTTGTACAGCAGTCACTGCCTTCCCGCCGCGTGGAGAAGCCCTAGGGCCACCTCACTGTGCCAGTGTAGCAGTGACCAGGACTAAAGACAGGAGACTAGGGTAGCAGCTTGAAGGCAGAGCAGCAAGTGGTTAGAAAGATGTCACACAGCCCTCCTGGCCACAGCAGGCCACACCAAGTGCCCTCCACCAGCCCAGATCCTGCGTAGCCCGAGGACCCCACTGTTACGCGACCTGTGGCCTGCCCTAAAAAGGAGCCCAGTCACCCAGCAGCCATCAGGCAGGGGAGACCAGGAGAAGGTTGCAGGCAGGAAGTAAGAGTAAGCCTAACCCTAACCCTTCTGCCCTCCAGCCAGAGGGCCCCAGCCTACCCACCCATCCTCAGGACCAGATCCAGCTGCACTGCTCACAGAGCCTTTATTGCCAGGGCAGAGGTGTCTGTCCACGCAGCCACCCCCACGTCCTCCCACACAGGGTCCTCGTATGCAATCCTCACATGCAGCATCCTTGCTCACAGGGGCCAACTCCCCAGGGCACTTCAGTCCTGGGCACTGGCTCTCAGGGCAGCCCTGCCCTTGCCGGTCATCTCCTTGGGTAGGGGCACCAGGCCCGGGCACGGCACCTGGCCTTCCACCTCGCACATGCACTCCCGTAGGCAGTACTTCCGGGGCCCAAAGTTGGCCGGGTGGGACAGCCACTGCTTTTCCTGCTCCTCCCTCTGTAGCGTCTCCCTGTCAGGGCAGATGGTGGGGTATGATGGGGGTTCAGTGATGGGATAGGAGATCAGGCAAAGGAGCCAGAATGCTCTGTGTGTCCTTCCTGTATCTTCACACGTGGAAAGGAGAGGGATGTAACATAGTTGGCCTCATCCTAGGGAGCTATGAGGCCAGGGCACCACTGGGGTTCCCTTGGAATCCACCCCTTCCCTCCCTGCCACTCCCCAGGCCACCTGGAACTCACTCGCTCTTCCCCAGGATCTTGCGGATGTGCTCCACAATCTCCCCGTTGCTCTTGGTCTCCATGTCCACTAAGACCTGCTCCCCAGAATCTGCAATGAGTGAAAGTGACTGTGAGGAAGAAAGTATGGGTCCAGCCTGAGCAGATGCATGACCAAGGGGACACAGCCAGCTGCAGACGAAGCTGGCACATGTGGAAGTAACTGTTCTCAGCCAGGGCACTAAGCTAACTCATGAAGTAGGTTGTCCAGTGGCTAATGATTCAGGCCAAAACAGATCAAAGATTACCCAACTTCTAGAGGAGAGGAAAGTAGAGAGGGGGGCGGGATGGGTCACCAGAACCTTGCCCAGGGGGGCATCAGCTCTCTGTGCACTTCCTGTTATATGTGCCCTGCATCCCAGGGCTTCCCAGAGCAAACCCAGTCTCCAGAATTGTGAGGAACCAACCTGTTTCCCTTCCTGTCACTCAGACTGAGCACAATACAGAGGTACCACAGACCTCTCAGATCCCCTGGGAGCCCACGCCCTCCTTGGCCACTCCTGCCTACACCTAGCCACACCATCCCTGAGTACTCCCCAGGCCCCTCAAGGCCAGCTGCAGCTCCTTCCTAGGATGGGGTCTGTGCTGTTCCTATAACCTCCTCCCTAGCCCTTGTTCTGAGAGGCCTTATCTCCAGCCAAGCTCACTCTGTCTTGACATCAATGTAAGGTCCTGGGCTCAACAATGGCCAGCCAGACTATGGTGCTCCTAAATGGAATACTACTCAGCATTAAACATAGATAAAGTGAAGCCAGACACACTAGCTGCTGCCTGTGGTCCCAGCTACATGGAAGGCTAAGAAAGGAGGATTGCAGAAGCCCTGGAGTTCAGGACCAGCCTAGGCTGAGAACAGGGTGAATGTAATCACTGTGAACTATGAACATGTACTAAGAAAAAAAGAAAAAGAAAATGTATCCACTGCTCTGTGCGGTCTGGTGATAGAATCTGCTCAGCCCCCTCGAGGCTCTGCATTCTATTCCCAACACCAAGAAATACAAAACAAGGTACTAACACATTCACACAGGTGAATCTCTCTCTGCAAGAAACAACCTCGCAGACCCTCACCCTTTTGAGGGGCTGTGCACCCAGGATGGCACCAGTGGAAGTGACACCAGCCAGCTGAAGGCTCAGGGAGGGGGCAGGGAGGAAGGCATGCTACCCACGCACATCCTACTCAGTGTCAGACATCCCATCCCATCCCCAGGTGACGGTTCCTGGGTGCAGCAGCCACACAGTACCTCACTTACCCAGGTAGAAGCGCAAGAAGGGAGATGGGGTCATGTTCTTGAACATCATGATCTGCACCCAGGGGTTCTTATACTGGATCTGGGGGATGTTGAAAAACACGAACTTCCTGCCAACACAAGGAAGGGAACTGGTGAGACTCTCTGGGGACCCCACCCTGAAACAGCACAACTGGAATAGTATAGCTGGAGGCAGGAGGAACCCTGGCACCAGAGTGGGGAAACGAGGGCAAAGTGAGAAGGGAAATAAAAAATGGAGAGGGGACCACCTTGTCAACTACTGGAGAACACATGAAAGTGTTTCACACTCCAGATGTTGAGAACTCTTAAACCCACAACCAAATGAGAACAGTGGCTCCATAAGATCTCTCTATGGCCAAGGTTACCATACTAAATTTATTTATTTATTTATTTATTTGCATAACCGGGGATTGAACTCAGGCCCTTGCACTTGCCAGGGAAGGGCTTATTCCACTGAGCCATCTCCCCGGCCCCTACCATACTAAATTTAACATCTGCCAAACTAAAAGAAGTGTTTGCAAAACGAAGGGCTAATTCCCGTGACATACAGTTACGTGTGTCAATAGCAAAGCACTGCTGGAAGGTCCAGGCACAGCAGACTACCACTATCCAGCATCAAAGCTACACAAACAAAGCAGGACAGGGCTGGATCCACCAGGGACAAACTCAGCAAGGATCTCAGATGTTTCATGCAGAAGTGTAGTATGAAAGGGAAGAGCAGGTACCCTGCTGGACACCGGAGCACCGTGCTCTCCTTTCAAGAGCAGACCATGACATAAGGGAACAGCCCCTGACCTGCCACCATCAAGTCCCAAATTCATCTGTGTCCTGAGGCTGTGCTGAAGAAGCGCCTGTGCAGAGTGGGACGGAGCCCTCTGGCACAGAGTGTAGCTCCTGCCCATCCAGAAGCCCCAAGGCCTCAGGAGACCTGGAATGCAGTAAGTCCTAGTTGGGACAGCAGAACTGCGGAGGGCACAGGACAGCCAGGGGCTGGCAGGCCAGGCAGACAAGTCAGGCTCAATTCGTCGGCTCAACCCAAGGGTACAACTGGGACAGGCACGCAAGCATGGATACCAAAGAGAGACTCTTGGGATCTTACCTACCTGGAGGCAATAAAACACTAGAATGCGAGGGTGGCGTCTTTTGGCAGGCCTTTCAAAATACCTAGACACATAAAAATGACTTTCGGCTTTGACAAGCCCATCATGGGGCCCGAGACCAGGGTGGGAGGCGACGCCTGAGCTTCTAGCTCTGCGCGAGGATACAGTAGCGCCTGGCGGACCCGGGAGGAAACAGACGGGTCCTGTTCTGAGCTGGGAGGCCGCCAGACAGTACCCGCTCACGGGACCCACTTACCTGGCGCCCTCACCCAGATCCCCGTGCGTGTTGTAATTCACAGTCATGACCTTCACCGAGTCCTTGAAAATCACGCTGCCCTGCCCTAGATACTGCAGCGTGCGGCGGATCGGGAAGCGCCCCTTCATGGGCATGGTGTCGGCAAAAAGAAGGAGTGGGCATACGGCGGGGCATCATGGGAGCCGCTCGCGACAGGAGCGCGCGCCGCGAGGCAGCCTGGGACTTGTAGTCGTCTACTGCGCATGCTCAAGGTGCACTCGCGAGGGGAAGGCGCGCACCTGAGGTAAATTGTGAGCGCCTATAGGTTAGCTGGCGGCTGGCTCTTCAACCCCAAGTAAATCCCGCATTGTCTCCAGACGTCTCCAGTTTTGAAATTGAAAATTCGAAAACAGAAATTGTTTTTCGGAAGTTTGAACCTGCAGTTTCTAACTTAAAAACAAACTGATCTGCCAAAAGATAAAACAATGACTTGGAACCCACCTCTTCCAAAAGACCCTGCTCACCCTTTACTTTCTTAATCCTTCACTGTAAGGTTAAGCGAGATACGCCCCTCTTGGGGGAAGATGAGCAGTGATCTCAAGACAGGTGAGGATGTTCCTGAAAGACTTGCATGAGCGTAGAGACGCAACCTGAGACTTCATTCCGGGCAGCTGCCCTCTCTGTGCTTGCCCGCTGCTATTCATAGTCACTCTTCCTCTCCGAAAAGCTATCATTTTGCAATAAGCTCGACTGCATTCCCTGTGATGGCTGTCTTGTCTGAAACCTTTAGTCACACGCCTGAGGAGTGGCACTGTGCTACCATTCCTCGTGGTGTTAGGACCCCTGAAATGGATGCCGGGTTCACACAGGGATGAGATAAGCCGCCCCTCTCCTCAACGCCTCTTTCTCTGCAGTTAAATCATGAGCTTTTGTTTCTTTTTAGTCTGCACTGTGCTACAGCAGCCCAAGGATTTAAAGTTGTTTACAATAGTTCAGACTGGGCGCCTTGGGAAAGATGTCCTCATAGGCTGTGATGTTTTAGATCTTGTTTAGCCCTGGTTTTCTTGGCGTTCTATATCCACTTCTGTTTCTCAGCGGTCGCATTTCTGCAGTCTCTGTCACTTTTAATCAGAAGATGGCACACTGTCAACAGCTCTGCTTCCTTTCGCTTGATCTGCATTTTGTTGCAAGTGTCTTTACTATAGAGTATTAATTACATTTCCTGTGCCGACAGATCCTAAGACAGCTATCATCTCTTAGCATATGTCAGATGCCATGCATCAGTCTATACATCAAAGAGTGTCAGGCATCCTTCCATGCAGATATTGACAAAATACGAACTAGTGCATCGCCTGTTAGTGGGTACCTGAGTGATTTATTCAGAAAAGAACATGGGGGACTCGGGAGATAGCTCAGGGGTCTGAGTGCCTGCCTGGCAAGTGCAAGGACCTAAGTTTGCTAGTGCCATTTGCTGCATAGGCCCCAGAAGTGCATGGTGGCACACATCTGTACCCCAGTGCTGGGAGGCTGAGACAGGAGGATCACTACAAGTCTGAGCTATGCAGCGAGACCCTGTACCAAATATTTAAAAAAGAAAAAAAAAAAAAAAAAAAAAGAAAGAAAAGAACATGGGGCCCAGCAGAGGCTGCAGACCATTCAGATCTGGCACTTGGTCTAGACACATTACACCTGATCTCCAGGCTGTAGCAGAGCAAAGAGGAGCATTTTTTTTTTTTGTACCTCCTACCACTTCATTTTCTTTTTCTTAGAAGGGTGACACCCTTTCTCAGCTACATGACCTCCTTTTCCTCACAGATGTGTCCTATTGAGCTGTCTCAGATGCATCCTGTGATGATGCTGTGCTAAGACTTCTCAAAACAAGACAGGAAAGTGGTTGAAGGTATCATGTGAGCTGGGATGGTGGAATAATCCTGGCTTGTCAACAGCAGAAGTCTGATCCTATGCAATGACACTATTAAATAAAATGGAACCCTTTGTTTGGGTGACCATGTATCTTTTGAGCCATCTCCTGGCAAAGAGATACTGCTGATGCTCAGAACCAAAGAGAGGGGCTGACTCCCCCTACTCATGTCCCCAGCAATGTCTGTGCTCCTGCCAGCATGCATATGCCCACTTCAAGAGCTGCTGGATGAACCTGGACCAGTTAGGGTCCAACAATCTCTCTTTGCAGGACCTAACACAAATCAAGCAGGTAATTTTCCAGATGATCCTAAAAAAAATAGAAGCCTCTAACATCTTTCTAATAGTTATAAATTCTTAGGATAGATTCTTATAGTCAGAAAGCTCCCAAGTAAAAAAGGCCAACCATTATACTGACAACACACATAAGAACACAGGTATATTATGGGTCCTGGAGCTGTTTCAGGCTGAACTGAACCATACAGCAAGACTGTCTCAAATCCACCCCAAAAAATAGTTAAAACCATAAATTATTCTAAATTGGCCACTATTGATCAGGGGCCAAGTAAAAACCTTGTGGCATTTCTTAGATTACTTAAGGAGGTTCTGCAAAAGCATATATGACTCTCATCTTATAAGGGACATGCCTCCTTAAAAATAGATTTCTTACCCATAAGCTCCTGATAAATTACAAAAGATGTCATCTTTGTGACCTAAATTCCCATTGATAACCTACTAAATGTTAATTCTGTTGTTCATTTTTGAGACAGGGTCTATGTGGTCCAGGCTGGCTTTGAACTGGTAGTGATACTCATCTATCAACCTCCCAACTGCTAGGATTAATCATGTACCACCATGCTTGTTGTTATGGTTTGTGTATAGGTGTCTCCTCAAAGCCTCGTGTAATCATGGGATGGCTTCTGGAGTTTGTGTTTGATTATTGTGGGTGTGGATGTTGTACCTGCCCTGGGGCAGGCAATCTGCAGTACAATGTAGGAGGGAAGAGAGGCTAGCCTGCTGCCTGAGCTGCTGCCACTCCCTTTGCTTTTGCTCTTTGCCACCGCCATGAAAGGTTGCTGTCTGCCATGTGCCACTCTGCCTTGAGCTTGAGTATGGACTGAAACCTCCAGTAACCATGAGCTAAATAAACCTTTCCTTCCTTCATTTTGAGTATTTGTCCCAGCAATGAGAGAAGAGTAACTGATACACTTGTCTTAGCTGGGATCTTAAGGGAAAAAAGTGAGAAAGGAAGCTAAGATTAAATTAGAGGGCCAAGGATGTGGTACAGGTAATGTGGACCCCTAGCTCACATGAGACCTTGAGTTCAATCTCCAGCACTAAGGGAAAAAAAGATTAAATTAAAACAAGAGGACACAAAGCATATGGAATTTCTCACTGCATTACAGGTCACTGGATGTCACCTTGGCTCCTGGCCCATCCCCCAAGGAAAACAAGGACACTTGACAGTGTCACCTTCGCTGGCAGAAGGGCATCCTCTGAAGTCACCTTGCCCTAAATGGGATAAAAGGCACTTGAGGGCTTACTGTCCCCAGGAAGGAAGGACCCTGATCCAGGGCCCAGTTGTTGTCCCCAGTTCAATCATCACCTTCAAGGGCTGGATCCTGGGTAACACTGGATGTCACAGGTAAGACCTTAGCTTCCTGCTTATCAGTGGTTCTCTTCTTCTGTTCGTACCTCCCATTCCAGACAGTTATGGGCATCAATGGGACTCTGGTACCCATTGCTTTCTTCTTCCTCTTCATCATTTATAAAATAATTTCCTTCCTACTCATGTTTTCTTGGTGATGCCTGAATCTCTAGTCCCCTTGCTGGTCCGAGACTTAATGGTCTTTTGCTCATCTAGCAGCCTCACAATCGTGGTAGTGGTTGCCTCTCCAGGCAACGCTGACAACACGGTCCCTACTGACCTTTCTGTTGAACACCTGTACTGGCACCCAGTAGGTGACCAGGCTAAAAGGTCCTTACAGCTTTCCTTGCCAGAAAGGGTATTTCCTTTAGGCAGAAGCCCAAACCGAGTTACAACCTCTGATAAACAAGCTCCTACAACAAGAGCATTGAGTGCCTTGTTAGTCACCTTGTGACACTTGTTCTGTCCAGTGCGGATCATTGTGTGTACACAGGCAGGCATTCCTGAAGACCCAGTAGCCTCATCTTGACACTGCTAAGCCAGGCTCCTTCTGACACTCAATTGTTTATAGGCCTGGACCTGAGAGATGTGTGCCCCAAGTTCCAATTCCTTTGTTGCTGTTTTGAGATGGTCTTGCTATGTAGTTCAGGCTGTCCTTGAACTCACTATGTAGTCTAGGCTGGCCTCAAACTTGAGGGAATCTTCCTGCCTTATCCTACTGAGTTCTGGGGTTACAGGAATGTGCCAGCACACCCAGATTTCTAATTTCTTGTTGCCTGAACTGTCCTTCAAAAGGGTTCAGGGCAGCCCTCTGGCCGGCACAGGCTTTGGCTAGGGAATCAAATGCCCTAACATCACCTGCAGTGCTGGTACATAGTATATAGGAGTGCTGCCAACAGCTCTGTGAAGAACTTGTCCAGGGCCTTGTGCATCGGGCCATAGTCATCTGAAGTGCCTCACAAGCAACCTCTCTTATATGCTAACCTCCTTCTAAGCGTAGAAGCCCAGTCTTTGGGCTAAGCTGAATCTTCACTAAATATTCTCCAGTAGGGATTACAAAATATGGATTACAGGAATTGCCACAAGGGTCCTAAGTTCAAAGGCCTTTCAACATAGAATATTATCTCATTAAAATACATACAGCTGGACATGGTTGTGATGCCTATAATCCCAGCAGTTAGGAGAGACACTGAAAATTTGAGACCAATCTGAGTTACACAGTGAGTTCAAGGCAAGCCTGAACTGCACAGTGAGACCCTGCCTCAACTCCTCCCCTAAAGAAAGCCAACAGTCAACAACTGACCTCTCCTTAGAAGGTCCTTCCTCAGTATTTCTCCCTTCTCCGTGGTCCCCAACATTGCCAGTTAGATCTACCATGCTGGAGTCAAATCTTAGAAGGGAGAAGCCTCCCATGAGTTCTCAGGTTGGGCATGGTAGAATATGCCTATAATTCCACCCCTTAGGAGGCTAAGGTGGGAGGGTAGCTGCAAGTTCTAGGCCAGCCTGGGCTTTATAGTGTGTTCTAGGCCAACCTGAACTAGAAAGATCCTTTCTTAAAAGACCAAATTTTTTTAAAGGTGAGACTTTTTTTTTTTTTTAATCTTTCGAGATAGGGTTTCACTAAGTAGGTCAGGCTGGCCTTGAACTCACTTTGTAGCCCAGAAGGGCCTCAAACTCACAGCAATCCTCCTGCCTCAGCCTCCCAAATGCTGGGATGACAGGCATGTACCACACCAGGTTTCTGGATGATTTAAAATCATTGTCCATGCACACTTCAGTTAAGTATCACATTATGCCATCCGTACATCTTTCCCTCCATGGAACCTTGCAGCAGTTACCTTCTGGTCCTTGTGTTTCTGGGGACAGAGGCTCACCATGGTACCTACAAAAGGCCTTAGTTATCAGTTCTGTTCAGCCAAGTTTTATCTTTTGCTTTGGATGGATGCTTGCTTAGACCAACTCGGTTTAAAAAAAAAAAAAGTTTACAACCATTACTTTGAAACAGGCTCATGCTCAATGGCTAAATTCCTCAAGCTGAGCCTGACTTTGCATTCCTCCTCATCAGCCTCCTGGTATTGGGACTACAGGCATGGTTGCAGTTTTTTGTAAAGATGGGATCAACACTGACTGTGTTGGGTAAGAAGGCTGAAGTAAATGAGCCTCTAGAGTGAAATGTGTTCATCTGGCCAGGAGTTATCTATTCAACATCTGCCCTGGGTCCTCAGCCTATGTGGTGGTACATGCCTGTCATCCCAGCACTTGGGAGGCTGAGGCAGGACTGCTGTGAGTTCAAAGCCTTCCTGGGCTACCAAGTGAGTTCAAGGCCAATGGGAAGGACTGAGGAGGGAAAATCCCAAGTTTGAGGCTACCCTGGCTACACAGTGAGTACCTTATTATTTTTTCCCCCAGAATGGGTCTCTGTGTAGTCCATGCTGGCCTTGAACTCAAGGTGATTCTTCTGCTTCGGTCCCCCAAGTGCTGGGATTACAGCATACACTACACCTGGTTTGAGACCTCCCATTTATTTATTTATTTTATTTATTTATTTATGTGTGTGTGTGTGTGTGTGTGTGTGTGTAACCGAGGATTGAACTCAGGCCTTTGCGCTTGCCAGGGAAGCACTTATTCCACTGAGCCATCTCCCTGGCCCTGACCTCCCTTTTTTTTTATACAAGGTCTCACTAAGCAGTATGGATTCAGTAATCCTCCTGTCTCAGCATCCCCAGTGCTGGGATTATAAGCATGCCTCACCTTTCAGAGCCAGCAAGGTGTACCCAGAGTTCCAGGGCCAGCACAGCATGTGGTACCAGGAATCAAACTCAGGACCTTGTACTTGCCAGGAAGGCACTTATGCCGCCAACCTATCTTCCCAGCCCAGACCCAAATTTAAAGAAAACGGAAGTTTTTGGTCTTATAAGGTTTTTTGTTTTTTTGTTTTTTTTTTTTGCTTTTGTTTTGTAATTTTTAGGGAAGGGTCTACAGGGTGTTCAGGGTCTCACTACTAGATCGGACTCATAGTTATCCACCTGTTTACACCATCCCAAGAGGCCACCACGCCCAGACTCAACTGCTGTCTCAGTGCACCCCAGGAGTAGGGCTGGCACGGCAGGCCTGGTGGTCTTTAAGACTTTGAAAAAGGATCTCACTATGTATTCCAGACTGTCCTTGTACCCAGAGTCCAGTCTGCCATCAAACTTAAGGTGATACTCCTGCCTTACAGGCCCTGCACCATCACACTGGCAAGTCTTGAAATCCATAGGAAGCAGTCACAGTGGAAGAAGTACTGCATTGTGCTAGAACCTGGGGTCCTCACAGCTAATGGGACCAGCAGGGTGCTGAGGGAAGCCCCAGTTTATCCCTCAGCCTGCACCTGTCCCCATGCTAGGAGAGCAGAGGTCACCACACAGTGTTTTTCCATTTCCATCTGGAATCCATGCAGGTCACGGAGGCCCCAGTTCCTGCCAGATCTATCAGGCTGCACCCACCTCTTACCACCCACTGTGCAGCCTGTGTCCCCCAACCAACCCTGCACCCAAGCCAACTGGGACCTCTGCCTCAGAGTACAAGTCAGGAAGACTAAGCAGCTGCAACCCAAGCCTGCTCCCTCCTAACCTGTCCTTTCCCCTGTGCCAGCAGTAATACGAAAAGGATGGCAGAACCAGTCAGGTTGTGCACTGTGCTTGCGTGTGCATCATTCCTAACCAACAAACTAGGAACATGGGGCAGTGCTAGGAGGGCCCAAGGCCGAAGTGCTGGGCTCTGAGGAACGGGGCTACCACCAAGGGGGCTTGTGGTAACTCACCTAAAACACATGCATATGTACACACCCACCACTCATAACTTTATTTTTCAAAAATGGTTCTGACACAAGGACCAGAGCAGTGTGTGCACAGCACTGTGAGGTGACCAGTGGGTTGAGCTCACTTCTTACCACATTCCAGTGCCTGACCTACCATGAGGCTCAATGACACAGGACGCTGTGGCATTGGAGCAGCAGACACTGAGCTGCAAATGGGAGTATTCTTAGTGTATTAGACAGAGACATAAACCTAAGCACAGACTGGTCCTCCACATACAACCATGGCCACTGTGGGCTCTGCCAGCACCATGACCATGGCTGAGGAAGGGCAAGGTGTCCTCCCAGGTGGGGCACACAGGTATCTCTTCCCCACTGTCACCTGTCCTCCACCAGCTACAGGGTCAGAGACCAAGACTGGAAGACAGCCATTGGACAGTTCCACAGAACATGAGAGATCTGACTTTTGGATTAGTATGTTCAGAGTTAATTTCTTAGAGTTCCTGTTTTGTTTTTTAAACATTCTGTGTCTGTCTCCAATGCTCAGTTCCTTGCAGGTTGCTACCTGGCACTGGTTTCAGGGAGCAGCAGGGGCAAGTGCGTCTCCACTGAAACCCCATTGAAGGAAAGTGCACTCTCCTGCAGAAAGCACAGATGGCAGCAAGCTACACTGGCTTCTTTGGGTCAGAAGGCCACTAGCTCCTCCAAAAAAAAGATGACTGAGCAGAGAGCAACAGGTTGGCTCTTCCAGCCCCAGCACCATAGCACAGAGGGCCTGGACCCTGGGGATAGAATCCCAAAGCAGGCAACATCTCATATGCCTGATGCTGCATCCTTCATGAACACTACCCAGTCAACAGTGTTCTCTGTATACCCCTTCCTTCCCCACCCAGGATTTGTCCTCATTTGGCCAACAGACTCTGCCAGTCCACTAGCAAGCAGATGAATGGCGCCTGCACTACCTATTGGAAGCACAGCCTCAAGGGAGGCAAGAGCATAAAGTGACGAGTGAATACACTGTTCGTTACCAGGCTCCCTGCAGCATGCTGCCCCAGATCTGAGGGTGCCGGTCAGCCCAGGGTCTGGCTCCTGTGCACCAGAACCAAAGGGGAAGCTGCCTCCTCTGCCCTAACAAAGACTCAAGTGCCACAGGCCACTGCAGGGTGCTATCTGGCCCTCCAAACAGTTTGGTTCCTTAATGCTAACACTGGTGAGGAAAGTGCTCAGCAGCACTCAGGCCAGCATGGCCCAAGAGGGAGGACGCTGGCCAGAGGGCAAAGAGTTCGCTGGACTCTACTCAGCCTCAGAGAGGCCCTGCTCTCCTGGTGATGCTCCTCAGAGGCCTCTGCTTACCAGCTCTGGAGCTATATGCTGGCCCTTCCCCAAAGCCTGGCTCAGGACTGCAGCCAGGTAGGGACTTCTCCCAGATGCACTAACAGAAACCAGGCATTTCTCTTCCTGAAGGCTAGTGGCCAAGCCACAGTGCCCAATGCACTGGAAGACGCAGTGTCCAAGGCGGAAAGGGACATTGCTGGCACATTTTCCAAGGTGCAGTCACCACTCCAGTGTTCCCTGCACCATAGCACTGGTCCCCAGGACTAACCCTAGGAAAAGCTGGGGTCCCACAGCCCAAAGAACATAGCATTCTGCCAGAGGACAATTTGGGGGACCCAGGCTACCTGTCAATAAGCCGCCCTAACACTGTATAGCACCCAAGACCATGTGGTGCTGATGGCCACGTCCACTTTGGCCCAAGTTGCAGCTTTGTAGTAAAAATGCAAAGTTCTTGAAAGGAGAACATCCCAAGTGAAAAACAAGACAGGCAGGAAATGCCACCAAGGAGTGAAGGCTGGTGCACCAGGAGTTCCTGTGTTAGCTGCTGTCATGGAGACACATCTGACATGGATAGCAGCATCTGTGGTGCATGCCCTGCTCCCCCGTCCCTCAGGGTCCCCCTTTCTGCTTGGCCAAGGTGCACCTCAGCTCCCGCAGGTTCTCAGTCAGCACCTCCACCTCGTCCAGGCGGCCATACTGCTTAGCATCAAAGATGTAGGCCTTGATATTGTTGATCTGCTGCAGGAGCAGGTCCTCCTCGATGGGCTCCACAGCCTCTGGGCCACTGTCACTGTCTACCTCGAAGGGGTTGGTGCCAGTGGGCTCCTCAAAGGGATTGCTGGGCACAGGTGGGCTGGCAGGCCTCCAGCTGGGGCTGTTGTGGTCCTCATCATCATCCTCATCGAAGGGGTTGGGTGCTGGGCTGTCAGGGCTCATGAAGGGGTTGCCAGTGGCCACGGCAATACCTGAAGCTGCTGCCTCTTTCTCCTCCTCTTCCTCCTCCTCAAAAGGGTTATACTCTCTGGGGAGCATAGCCTTTACTGTGGCAGGGCTGGAGAGGCTATCCCCACTGAAGGGGTTCAGAGCGTTGTCACCCTGCTGGGGCTTGGTGCTCTGGGGGAGGCTCTCCTGGCCCAGGGCCCACGCTGCACTAGGTGAGGGAGTTTCAGGGACTGTGCTTCTCAGGCCTGGGGAGCCTAGCTCCAGCGTGAAGGCTGGGTATGGACGAGGCCCCCAGCTGGGCTCCAATAGGAAAGGTGCAGCCTCCCGGGAGTCCAGTGCCCGGGTCCGGGAGTGCAGGGAGGCGGCCTGATCTCGTTCCCACTCCTGCTCCTGCAACCTCTGCAACTGCTCACGCTGCAGGGCCTCCTCCTCAGCCTGTCTGCGGGACAGTTCAATGGCTTTGGCGGTCTGCTGCTGGTCATACTCATCTTGCAACTGCCGCAGGTTCTCCCCTAGGGTGCGCACCTCATCCGCACGGCCAGCAGCTTGGGCCTGCTTGATGAATGACTCAATGTTGTGGATTTGCTGCAGCAGGGGGTCAGGGTCCTCATGCTGGCCCTGTGTTCCTGGCAGCGGAAGCCAGCCCTCTGTCTTCTTTGCTGGGGCCACCTCCCCATTGGCCTCTGGGCCATGGTGTCTGTCCTCCAGCCTGCGCTGTGATTCCAGGACAGCCTGGGGAGAACCAGAGCCAGAGTCACAGGGTCCCAAGCTGGGTAGCCCACTCCCTACCACCCTTATCCACTTCTACTTTCCCTCCTATGGATACTGAAAGGCCCATCTGCAGACAGAATGAGTGGGCAATCTCTGATTTTCTTTTTCTTTTGTTCTTTTTTCTTTCTTTTTTTTTTTTTTGGTATTTTGTGCAAGGTCTCACTACGAAGCTCAGACTTGTAGTGATCCTCCTGTTTTTAAGCCTCTCAGCATTGGGATTACAGATGTGCACCACCACACCCAGACTCATTCACCAGCTCAGCATGCTGAGGAGCGGGGCCAGCATGGCAGTGGTGCCAAGGATCAAACCCCTGTGCCTGTGCTTGCCTGAGCAGGTGCTTAGTCTGCTGGGCTATCTCACTGGTCCTAATCTCTGATTTTCAAAATTAACCATGAGTAACAGGTCAGTGAGGAGCTGCCCCAGTCATAAGCTATACAGCTGGTATATATCTGTGTCTCTCACCCCTCAACAGTGTTAATACCCACCCGTGCTGAATAAACTGTGACCTAGTGAGCTGCTTCTGTTTTGCTCTGGGGATGCCAGAGACTAAACCAGGCCTTCATATACTCCACTACTGAACTACACCTACAGCCCTCCTTTTTTCCCTTATAGAGAGTTTCATGAAATTGCCTATTGGTGGGCTGGTGAGATGGCTCAGTGGTCTAAAGCACCTACTTAGAACAAGCTCAGCAAAACAGAGGGACCGCGGTTCAATCCCCCAGCACCACATGCCAGCCAGTCCCGCCCCCTGGTGGGCTGAGCTGGCCACACACAGACACAAAATAAATAAATAATAATAATAAATAAATAAATAAATAAGAGAATATTAAAAAAAAAAAATTGCCTATTGGCCTCAAGCTCTCAATTCTTCTGCCTCAGCCTCTCAAGTAGCTAGGAATACAGATGTAGACACCACACCTGGCTATTTTCTGGTTTGTTTTTTATGGTACTAGGGATGAAACCCAGGGCCTCTCTGCACAGCTACATCCCCAGTGCTTAGTTTTCTAAGTTGAGACAAGGTCTTGCTAAGTCACTAAGTTCCTGAGGCTAGGAACTTGAACTTGTGTTCCTCCTTGCCTTATTCTACTAAATCGCTGTAATTATACATGAGCCAGCAGGCCTGGCTATTCTCTTTAACTGTGCACTTTTTTTTTTTTTTTGTGGCACCAGGGATTGAACTCAGGCCCTTGCGCTTGCCAGGGAAGCGCTTATTCCTCTGAGCCATCTCCCCGGCCCAAAAAAAGCATCATTCTTTTTTTTTTTTTTTTTTGTGGTATCGGGGATTGAACTCAGGACCCTGAGCTTGCCAGGCAAGTGCTTATTCTACTGAGCTATCTCCCCGGGCAACAGTGCACTTTCAAGGTAAACCCCAGCAAGCTCCCCAGAGGGAGCACTGCTGGTCTCTGCTGTTCTCAGCATGAGCTATACCAGGACCACAGACACAAAACAAGAACCTGGAATAGAACTCTTATGGTTTCTACAGGTGGGCATGTACTGCAAAAGAACAAAAGATGAAAACAAACATATGGAAGAGAGAGACAGATACCACATGCCTGAGTGGCAACACAAAACCAAATGGGAAGGAAGAAGGTATGCAATGTGTTAATTATTGAAAATGTCCTAGCAATTTGGTTTGAAACTGTCTCATTGCTATTTGTTTCTCTATAAAATTATGGAAAAAAAATAGGAGAGAGGGAGAGACAGAGAGGGAGACGGAGACAGAAACAGACAGAGACAGAAAGAGAGAGAGACAGACAGACACAGAGAGAGACTGACTATACTCAGGCATGAGCAGGACTCTGGTGACATAGGCAGGTGGGACATCAGAAGCCAGTGGGTCACCTGGCTGCCATCTTCCCAGACCCTGCACACCTGTCTCTCTAGCATCCTCTTCCTCTCCATATCCTGCTTCCTTTTCTTTTTCAGCTCTTCAAACTGTTCCTTGGTCGGCAATGACATCAAACCCAGCAACTTTTCCTGTAGGGGTCACAATGAGGTCACATTTACACTTGGGGAAAAATGGACTTTAAGCCCACTCTCGAAGCTGAGCTGGCCACACTTGGGAGTGGTAGAGAGAAGCACAGGGTGCACAAGCCTGCTGAGACCCTCTGGAGAGGGTCACACCTGACACCCAACACCTACTAACCACCACTCCTATGTCCCAGTCTCCAAGGAACTATGTACTCAGAGCCAGCTCCTCAGTTGGACATCACCTGCCCATTCTACAAGCTCGGCTGCCAAGAACAAGAAGTATGAATCCTAGAGCCAGGACTCAGCCTGGTGCCCAGTAGGTCCTCAGCAAATGGGACAAAGGCCCAGTTCTCAGCACTGCCATGTGGAGACACAACCCCCATGTGCCCACTGGACCTTAGCAAGGAGGCTAAAGGCAGTTGCCACAGCACACAGGGGCACAGGGCATAAAGACAACTCTGAGTCCAACCCTGGGGAAGAGGTGCCACAAACCATCTGCCAGAGGCCCAGGAAGAGGCTCCTCCCCCGTCACCTATCTCTTCCAGTCACAGAGCCCCAGGCCCCCCATCTCCTCCAGCTAAGAGCCAAGGTTAGATGGGGACAGCCCAACATGGCAGCAGTGCAGGGATTGGTGACATGGAGCTGAGGGGAGAAAGGAAGCAGACTGGCAATGTGCACAAGCCCTAACTACTGCATCTGAACATGCCATCAGAAAAACACCAGAATGAGCCATGACAAAAAGAAAAAAGGTCTTCCTTTCTCAAAATCCCCCATTTTTCTCATTCAAAATACGGCAGTTAAAAGACATACTGTTGCTCTTAAAGAGTATCTGGTACATAAGGGAAAACAGGCCATGGTTGTGACCTGTCCAAAAGGAGAATCAGGGAACTCAGGTGAACTCCCACTACCATACAGCCTTACCTGCACAAAAAGTGTGGCTGAGTACCGGATCATCCTCTGTAGCCGCAGTGTGTTGGGGTGCGGTGGGGGGTCCTGGTTCAATCCGAGGGTTAATATCTTCTTACTGGGCCAGAACAAACACATCAGAAACAAGATCAGAGGTCTCCAGAGCTGCAGCCATTCATGCCAAGGCAAGCGAAGATGGGTGACTCCACTGTCTCCTGGAAGGCAAAGTCCAATTCCTACCCTTTGTGTGGACTCACAGTACCTAACATAGCACAGGGTGTGTGACATGCTCAGTCACTAATGAACTCACCATACAAGAAGACCTGCTTCACCAGTGAATCACCTCTGCAACTGCACAGGGTCCAGCACTTCAAGGGACTCATGCTTAATACCCTGCTGTCACCTTCTTAATATTGTTAATAATGTAGAAATAGGATCTGCACCAGGCCTTGAAAATCATGCAGTAGGTCCTTGGTGCCTAGACAGATAATGACTCTCACTACAAATGTCCCTAAGTCCCTGTACCTCCAAGTGCCAGGCCATGGTTTGAAAGCAAGTGTGACCTGAGGTATGGGCACAGCTATGAACAGTGAGCAGGCAATGGCTGTGCTGGTCTCCTCACCTGCAGTGCAGGCAGTACCTGGGCCTCAGTAACATCAAGGTCACTGTGCTACTAGTACTAACACAGTGTCATGGGGTCACACCTGGCCTCAGCCCAAGACCCTAGGCCTGAGTAGAGTTGTCCCTGGCACCATCCCCAGCCTCACCTCAGGGCGTCTATGAGTTCGTATACTTTCTGTACCTCCAGGCGGAGGTCGCTGGCCTGCTCCAGGCTATAGGTAGTCTCCCCAGCACTGCAGAGAAAGCACAGGACAGGGCTGCATCAGGTCGTGCTGAGTGAGGGTCACACGGGATACTCAAGGCATGAAGCTGCACCAGGATGGTTAGTGCTTGGAAAGGGGCATTTCAGGTCTCAAACAAGAGCTGTGATAAAAAATGCAGACCATATTCACACTTTAAAAAAAAATGTATTACAGTGAAACACACTGTCTCTATTACTTTCTTGTTGCTGAGACACAATACACAACTCCAAGGAGGAGAGGTCTGTTTTGGCTCACAGTTTATAGAGGCTTCAGTCCAGTCAGCTGGCTCCAGAGCAGGGACACAAAGCAGAGGAGAAATAGTTCCTGGCAGGGTATCAGGAAGCAAAAAGTAATGAGGAGGAGGAGTCAAACAGACCTGGCCAGGCCACGCCCCCAGTGACCCACCTCTTTCCATCAGGCTTCACCTCACAACATCAATTTCAGTCAAAAATTAATCAGAGGACCAATCCACTGATGAGTATCACACACCCATGATCCAGTCACCACCCAAAGCCCTACCTAGCTTAACTATCAACTGTAATAGACATTGCATGAATGCCCTCAACCCACCCAGCCCAATTCAAACACACTTCATTATTCTTGGCTATTCTTGGAAGCCACTCCTGAGTCTTCTTTCATATCTTTATCTGTGTTTCCCTGGCTCAGCACAGTTGCCTAGTGTCCTGAACTGATTCAAAATATTCTTCAGTGTCATTCTGACTTTGGCAAAGAGCCACAAATCACAAAAGATCAGGTGAATGAGGGCACGTTATCATGTTTTTACAATTCTGCCTTTCTGTTATTTGGCACTTGGCAGTAGTGTTCACATATATTTTTGATTATAGCTCATAAAGACACTCAGGAAAAAGGATTCCAAAGCTACTGCAGAAAGTGGCAAGAATGATGGGATGAGTGTGCTCAAAGTGGGGGTGGGAGTTGGAGGGATGGAAGACTTCAGGGGGATTCATGCCAGTATCTTTCACTGTAATTGTTTTTTCGTAAACTTTCACTATATCCTTTGATTACACCCCTTATGATGTAGTGCTTGCTCCCAAGAAGGCATGTATCACCCAGAAGCTGTCCCCATATGCAGAAACACAGGGACAGCCTGGACCAGGCCCAAGGACTAACTCCACCATGACTGCACACACAGCAGCTCCACCAGATACTGTCCCTAAGCAACCTCACAGTGTCTGGAGGTCACTGAAGAGTAAATCATGAGGCATCAGGGCACAAAGCCCCCTGACCTTTCATACTCAAATACTGCAGGCGGAGAATGAACAAGGACCCCCCGACAAGCCTGGGCCATGGTCCCAGCTCACAAGGCTCCTGAGGACTATGCACAATGTGACAAAAGGAGGGCCTCAGAGTGGGAGTAAACATTATAGATGATGTTGCCACTGCTCCTTCAGGCCTGTTATCTTTCTCCCCACCTGTCATCCCACTCTCTGACTGCTGACACTTGAGTGTAACCCAGGAATTAGATCCCAGGTCTCTAGGTAACAAACAACTCCAGCTGAAAAAATACTGCTGTGACCCAGAATCCAAGGAGGCAACACAGCAGGTAGTGGGCTCATTACCTCTCAGCACACAGTAGTACAAAGAACAAAAAGCTGGAAGCAAGAAAATAAGCTTTGGTTTTTTTTTTTTTTTTTGAGATGGGGTAACACCATGTTGCCCAAGTTATCCTTGAACCTTGGGCTCAATGATCTTCCCACCTCAACTTAGGGAAAGGTTTTTTCTTGTTACCTCCAAGTCTAGAAAATAACAAGCTTGGGCCAAAGCTGAAATCACTTCCTCTGGTCTCAATCACATCAGCCAACTTTATCCCTCAGAATGCCATCACATCCAAAGTTATCTCACCAACCACATGTTCCTGAGAGCAGCATTGCTGTCCCTGGTATGTGCCACAGTCCCACACCTAGAACAGCACCTGGCAGAGTGTGTCCTGGGCCAAGGAGCAGGCCAGGGAGGCCTAGGAAGTCAGTCCTGTGGGCAGGAACACAAAGCCCAGGAGCACTCTCTCCTCTGGGTGAGTAGGAATGGGGCCTGGCCCAACACAGACAGAAGAACCCCAATTGTCACAGAAATGCAGAATGCAAGGGAGGAGGCATTTTTTGACCAAAACACCTGAGCTTAGTCACTCACATTCAACACAGCCAACATTTACAGACTCAGAAGACAGGAAAGAGGACTGCGCTTGTGAAAAAGTTCTTATTCTATTCCTTGAGACAAAGTGTATGTTACCCAGGTTGGTTTAAGTGATTCTCTCAGTCTCCTAAACAACCAAAACTACAAGTCTGTGTCACAGTGCCCAGCATCAAATTCATTTTCTTTACATATGAGAACATGATGAACATATTAGACTATGAAGGAAAGTCAAGCTCATATCCTCTGTATTCCTAAAGCCATAAAAAACTGCCACAGTGCATGGTGGAGCAAAACCTGGCTCTATTCTAACAGAGCTCATTCTAAGCAGGTCCCCTCCACAGTACAGGCAGGCCGTGCAGAAAAAGACAAAGGCAGAGATTTCAAACAGAGAACCACGGCTGCCAGCACTGCATTCTGCAGGCAAGGCAAGACCGGGACTGATTGGGCCTCAGCCCCGGTTCCAGCTCACACTCAATCTGCAGGAGCTACATACTCACACAGCTCAGCAAGTGAAGGGCCAACAGCTGCGATCCTCAGGTCTGCTGCTATAGCCCCAAGGCCACAGCCAATAGCAACATGCAAGGGGCAAGGGGTTTAAAGGGGTTAAAACTGTACAGCAAAGTGGGTGGAGGACACACGACCCTCACCCTGCTGAGGAATGCAGTGTGGTGCAGTTCTGAAAGGATGTGGCCATTTCTCATAGTAAATAGTTACCACAAAATTCAGCACTCACAGGTAAACACCCAAGAGAAATGGATATGTGTCTGCAGAACAACCCACACAAAATGTCTCTCTCTCTCTCTTTTTTTTTTTGCAGAACTAGGGATTGAACTCAGGCCCTTGCGCTTGCCAGGGAAGCGCTTATTCCACTGAGCCATCTCCCCAGCCCCTATGAATGTAAAATGCATGTCATTCATAGTAGTTAAAAAAAAAACCCAAATGCTCATTAATTGATGAATGGATAAAGAACATAGTACTGTATGCAGGGCATTCATATAAAAGGAATGAAGAATGTACATGCAACTACAAGGATGAACCCTGAAAACACAGCACTGAATGACAAATCAGACATGAAAGGTCACATTAGTGATATCATTTATGCAAGAAGTCAAAATCAGGGTGCCAGAGAGAGGGGACATGAGGGAGCTTGTGGTATGAGGCTTGTACCAGAGCAAGGACAGGATGTAGAATTAAGGTGGTGGTGGTACTGTACAACTCTGAATATAGTAAAAACCACTCCATTGTATACTGTAAAGGGAATGATTTTTATGGTGGAAGAGAAAGGGAAGAGGTGGAGAAAGAGAGAAAGAAGAAGGTACAAAAGGAAAGAAAACAGGAGAGAGGCAAAACAAAGAAAGGCTTCCATGTGGACTACTCAGTTGCCTGAGTGCTGAGAGGCAACAGCCCCCTCAGGATACCATGAAGAACGCTTACTTCAAGGATGCTGCCATTCGAGTGTATTCTGGGGCTTTCTGATCCACCTTCTCCATGCAGAGCCGCAATTCCTGAGAACAGAGGAGAGGTAAGTGCCACTCTCAGGAAACAAATGCCTACCCAGAACCAGGCTGTACCCACAGAGATGTGAGAAAAGTGATCCTTTTTCTACAATGGGGTCTTTTCCTATGGTTATCAATTTCCTAACCTACTTTACAAATCTTACAGAGAGAAAGAGACTGAGAATGGAGCCCAACCAGACATCCTGAGAGCAGTAGGTCCACCACTATCCTGACAAGCCTGCCCTTGGCAGGCAGTGAGTCTGCCAAGGCAGGAGGACATGGTGATGTCAGGTGACAGGATGACAGGGCACACAGTGTTGCTATCCTGTTCAGAACATGGGAGCCAGGAAGGCCATGGAATCCAGAGGGTGAAAGATGGCTACACTCACTCAGTCCTGGATTTGTAGCACACCCGTAGCCAAGTACATGGCTGCATGGGTTTTGGAAACAGCTGTGGTAACCCAAGCACATTGCTCCTCTGCCCTACCATCTCCTACTCCGGTGTCCCACCTCCCTGACAGATTCTTCTGGTTGGTCCCCAGCTCACAGGTCTCCCCTGGCCACAGGAGCCTAAGCTGTCTCATTACCCCCAACTTTTCTGAGGTATTGTTTCTCAAATATGCCTTTTCTGTGGCAATCTGGGATAGGGAAGTAAAGAACGTGCAACACTTCACAGGGCTTTCTTCCCCAGGCAAGTTTCCCAGGATTCTCCAGACTGCTATCCCAAAGCTCTAGCTCCTGCCTGGCCCACAGAACCCTTCCTCCCCTGCCTTGCTACTCTCTAAGGGGTGAGCAGGTGGGATGGGCTGGCACCACACCCTAGGGCAGCTCTGCAACTCCCCAGGGCTCCACAGCAGGAATAAACACAATTCAAGGGAACCCCAGCACTCCTCAGATGGGCACCTCGTAGAGCCTGGTGATGGCGGGAGTGTGCTCTCGCTCATCCATCTGCTGCTCCCTGCGCAGCAGTGTGTCCTTGCAGTGCCCACAGCAGCGGATGCGCTCATCCTCCTTCTCGTCCAGCATGGAGCTCACACTGCTCACACTGCCGATGCTGCCACGTCGTGAGCCATGCACACTGCCGGGAGACTGGCTGGGGCTGGTGTGGGTGCTCAGGGCATCCCTGCTGGCACTGGTGAGCTTGTCTGCAAACAGAGAGTACTCAGCTCTCCACCGCCCTCGCCACAGTTGGGTATCAGAGCAGCAGGGGTACAAGGAGGATATTAGACCAGGCTCTGCCTTCCTGGGCTCCCTCATGCAGTGAGATCCTGAGGGCACACCCAGGATGGCCCTCCACCTTGTCCACAGCCTTGCCTGGCCTGGCCTGGCCTGGCCATCGGGCTCCTGCCTTTCACAGCACAGCCCACAGTAAATATCCTCTGGGCAAATCATTCTCCTTCAAGATCCCTTCTCGCCGAGTGTGACAGAAGCAACCCCAGACATTGGCAGCTCTTTGGGATGGAGCTGCACTCAAGGTAGCAATTTTTATCTGCACCCTGAATACAGCCAGCAGGACCATCCCAGGCAGCAACTCAGGAAATCTCAGCCAACAGTTCCCAAGGAGAGAAACAAGTGTCTGGGCCAGATAGCTCAGTGGACTAAAGCATCTGCTTAGGCAGAACTCAATGGCCGGGGCTTGTGCTGTGCCAGCCCTGCCCCCGGGGCACACTGAGAGGGCGACTGAGACTGGGTGTGGTGGTGCTCGCCTGTGATCCCAATGCTTGGGAGGCTGAAAACAGGAGAACCACTATGAGTCCAGTCTATGTAGTGAGACCCTGTAGACCCTGTACAAAATATGTTAAATTTTTTTTTTTTAAACTGTCCAGAAAATGTGGCTTAGGCAGTCCTAGGTGAGCCAGGAGAGAATGAGGTAAAACAGCAGAAGTTAGGGCCACCGAGGACAACCTGCCTCAGCTCCTATGCTGACACCAGTAGTGCCACCCAGGTGTCCTGGAAACCAAAAGATTCTTGCATCAGCCTCTAACCATCTCAAAGGCAGGGCACCCTCATAACTGTCCTGTCCTGACACTGTCTGCAACTGTGCTCCCTGGGGCCCATACCCCTGTCTGGGACTGCAGAGCCCAGGGCTTCTCAAATGTCATCTCCTGTCCCAAGTCTCCAGCACCCTCAGCATCTCCTGCATGAGGACACTGAAGGCTGTCTGTGACTTTCACTCCAGAGGAAAGGACTTTAAAGTCCTCTTCCCAAAGTGCCCTGCCACTTCCAAACAGAACTGACAGCTGCTCGGCTCCTCTTGCATCCTGACCCACCTCCCAACCAAGCAATTATTTATTTGGGAGTTCACAACCCTGCAGGCACCCAATTCCTCAAAGCAGTGGGTGATGCCTTACAAACAAAGGTAGGAGAACAACAGCCTGAGATCCAGATCTGGCTGCCACCTGTTCTGTACAAGCCTGAAGCTAAGTATGGTTTTGACATTTCTAAGTTGTTAAAAAATAAAAAGGAGCAATGGCACAAAGACCCTCTAGCAGTCTTGCAGTATTAATGTCTGGTCCTTTTAATAGGGCCTGCAGCCTGTCCCAGGTCTTTGGGCCATGTGGGCTTTGTGGGGACCCCTATGACATCAACTCCAGGGCCATGAGGTGCCAGTGGTTAGTAGTAAATGAATATGTCCTAGTAGGGGATGAGGTCCCCGTCACCTACTTGCCAAGGGCAGGCTGATGAGCTCCATGCACCTCTTGCACATAATTGAGCCACACAGGCGGCAATGGTGACGACGGTTACGAATGCTGAACTTGCTCCCACAGTCGGGACAGAAAGGGACGTCTTGGTCGTTGACCCAAGGCACCACAGACTTTTCAATAGCTTTGGGAAGGACAAAATAAAATCACACACACACATACCATTTAAGAAAGATCTGGTCAGAGAAACAGAGAAGGAACGGAACACGAACAAAGTTTTCTGGTTACCTCGAATCTTTGCAGATTCAGTGTTGGCTCTGTCAAATGCAGTGAGCTGGTAGGAGAAAAGAGGGCCAGGTGGGTTAGACAGGGACACCCTTACAGGAACACCCTAACAGGGACACCCTAGTCACACTTTACTGTTCATACCACAAGCAGCCTCTGCACAGCTGCACTTCTCTAGGCCATTCTCCAGGCAACCCAGAAGCTTCACATCTCCAGGTTCCTCCCTCTGAGCCCCTGCTTTGCTCTTGCCCTTCATTACCTGTATCAGCAATAGGCAAGCGAGGATGAGGCAATACAAAAGCAGTGGGGAACTCTTCTTTCACTCCTCCTACACAACAAAACTAGCTATGCTCTTTTTTTTTTTTTAATTTTATTTATTTATTTGTGTGTGTGTGTGTGTGTGTGTGTGTGTGGCCAGCTCAGCCCACCAGGGGGCGGGGCGGGCTGGCATGTGGTGCTGGGGGATTGAACCGTGGTCCCTGTGCTTTGCTACGCTTGTTCTAAGTAGGTGCTTTAGACCACTGAACCATCTCACCAGCCCCAAAACTAGCTATGCTCTTGGTGTAGTGGTACACACTTGCAATGCCAGCACTTTGGGAGGCTGAGATAGGAAGATTACAAGTTTGGGCCCAACTTGGGCAGCTTAACAATTTTCACCATAGTGGATTGGTGAAATCCTGTCTCAAAACATAAAGATCTGGGGAGGACCTCACTGCAGCAGCCCTGGGTTCATGCCCCAGGACTGCGCATGTTTCTGCCTAAGAAATTCATAGGAAGAGCTTACAACTCTGCCGCACTCACCACACAATCCAGACCGTACTTAGCACCATCTTCCAGGGCAAAGCACAGAGCTCACTGCAGGACAACAGGGCCAGTCACAGGCCCCCACACTGCACCCTGGCCCTGACTGAGAGCACAGCACAAACCTTGCCATCACTTTCCTATTTCTCATCAAATGATACCGCATAGTATAGAATGATCCTGCACAGGACACCCCAAAAAGAAAAGATTTCCCAGAAGTCAGTAGACTTTGGTATGGAAGAAAAGACGCAAGGCCTGGGGCAGTTGTGATACCCTTTGGCTGCTCCCCCAGGAGAGCTAGCCCAGGTTGTGCCTGTCCTCCATGTCCTTGGCACCCTGCCAGTATCAGACATACAATACAAGCTATACTACATGAGGCTTTCCCCAAAAGAAAATGTGTACTTGCAGAAAAAAAAAAAGTTTTAAATGAGAAAATTTACCTTCTCTAACCTGATTATTAATTTATTGACTTCAACAACATAGTGGTCAATTCTGGCAGCACGGTGTTTTTTGAAGTCAGAAAGATGGCTTCTCACAGTCCCTAGGAGGAAGGAAGACAGGAGTAAGTGACTTGTCATTTTCCAGGCAGAGCCTCTTGACCTTATAGTTGATCTTCACTTAGAGGACATCTGCATCTTGCTGAGAACTGAAGGTGTCTGACTTGCTCACTGTGGGAGGCTGGAGGCTTCAGGCACAACAGATAAGGTCTGGATTATGGGGTCAACCTGCACCCAAGCTGCTATTCCACAGGCACTGTGACCTTGGACAAGTCACTTAGCCTTGTGTGACCATGGGAATTCACCCTAAGACTGTGGAAAGAGGATTGCTGTGAGTTTGAGGCCATCTCGGACTAAATAGTGAGACCATCTCATAAAACAAATGAATAAAATATATATCTGGGGGTGGAGGAGAGCGAGTACTGGAGGGAGAACTGTAAAAGAACCCTTATTTATACACTCAAAGTCATAAAATATCTCCATGCTGAGATGTAGAGTGCACAGTGCATGCTTACTACCCACAAGCCCCCTATTAATACTGCCGTCATTCAGCAGTTAAAGAATGGGTTAACTGACTATGGAGTTCAACACAGTATGTGGCACAATCTTCATTGAGACATACATAATTCACATACATCTGCCACTTAAAACACAGAAGTCAAGATTTTGGTGTGTCACAGGCAAGGGATCTTCACAAGCCACTTTACAATGTATCTACACCAGACAGGATGATCCCTTTGAAAGCTAGCAGATGGTATCACAAAAAGTGAGGAAGTATCTCAGAAAGTAGGCTGCCCACACCCAGGCCTCTCAATGCAGTTACAAGTGACATGAGCCTAACCTAAAGGCCATACACAGGTGCCACAGTGACTGCAGAAAACCAGAATCACACCTGCTTCTGCAGTTCAAAGGTGCATGCCATGGGTAGTTCCTCTGGCGCAGGGGGATGCAATGAACTCAATATGGAACACATTAATACAAGGCCAAACACAAGGCACACAGCTCTTCCTCTTATGGGTGTGATAGCCATGGGAAACTCAGTCCTTAGGTTCAACAATGCCTCCTTAGCCAAATCTGAAAACATCATCTAAAATGTAGGACGTGTTTGATTCCTATCTGCACAGTACATGTTCACATCAAGAGGAGTTTCTTACCCAGTTCCTGAGGCTCCCACATGTAAGGGTCAACCCCTCCATTGCTGAAGGACTCATATCCTGAGGACCCTGGCTCTGTTCGGTCGTCCCCTTCCCGTCTCAGCAACTTGTTCTTTGCTTTCTTAGCCTTTTGAACAAGACCTTGAAAAACAGAACAAAGAACACAAGTGAACCATCAAGAGCACCTGGTAAAAAGTCAAGGGAAACATCAAAAGATAAAGCTGATGAAATAATTATCCTTGATAAAATGCACAAGAAGCTGTGTGTCAGCCCATAATCCTAGCACTCTAGGAGGCTCAGGCTATAGGACTGCAAGTTCAAGCCTAACCTGGGCAATACAGTGACTTAGTGAGATCCTGTCTCCAAAGAAAAAAAAAAAAAAATTTTTTTTTTTAAGGGTCAGGGATGCAGCTCCATGCAAAGGACCTAGGGGTAGTTCAATGCCTAATACAAAAAAAAAAAAAGCACATAAAATGCAGCAGTAAGCACAGGAACACTGTGCAGTAAGTAGCATGGAGTATTGGTTAATACTGGCAGGAAGCAGGGCCCTGTGCTATATACAAGCTACAGTACTGCTCATCATCAAATTTAAGAGTCCAAATGAACAGAGTGGATAAGATCAAATACAATGAGGGAACCAGGATGATGAAAGCATTTTTCTATGTCTGAAACAGAGTGGTACTCATACTTTTAAACCCTACTGTAGGGCTGGCCAAATAGCTCAGTGGATTAAAGCACCTGCAAGCAGGTGCGGGGGCCAGGAGTTTGATCCCCACCTCCGGGGCACGCTGAGATGGCAAGGCAATTGAGACTGGGTGTGATAGTGCGTGTCTGTAATCCCAGCTCTTGGGAGGCTGTAAAAAAGGCAGATCACTATGAGTCTAATCTAGTAGTGAGACCCTGAACACCCTGTAGACCCTTCCCTAAAAATAAATAAATAAATAAATAAACCCTATGGTACACTTAGAAATTTGTATGTAAGCAATATTGTAATCAAATCAAGAGGTTGTACTTGTTCCTTTCTGTTTCCTTGTGGTGCTGGGATTGAATCTAGGGCTGGTGCATACTTGGCAAGTACCCCATCTCTGAGCCTCTATGGTCTTCCAAACTCAAGTTTCTAGTTGGGATGCACCTCAGTGGTAGTCCACTTGTCTCATCTGTGTAAGGCCCAGGTTCTGTCTCTAAAAGGTCCAACTGTACAGTATGAAATTCATGAACAAACAGTTCTCATTTACTTCAGGACAGGATGCTGCCAAACCAACATCCCACGATCTTAACAAAATATAGAACTCTTCTCTTCCACCTCTGCCTAGCCACTTCTTGAACACATGAGAATATGGACACAAAACTGCAAGGAACAGACCTAACCCCCAACACAACACACATAACAAAACCTGGCTTGGTAAAGAGAAAACTATGAGAGGTTGAGGCAGGACAATCACAAGTTATAGCCCAGGCTAGGCAATTTACTGACTTGAAAGACCCTGTCTTTAAATAAACAATTTTGGGGCCAGGAAGATGGTTCAGTAGAATAAGCACTTCCCTGGCAAGTGCAAGGGCCTGAGTTCAATCCCTGGTTCTGCAAAAACAAACAAATAAATAAACAAACAATTTTAAAAAGAGCAGAAATGGACCTCAGTGGGAAGGATCTGTGTTTGAATCTTAATGGTAGTGGGAAAAGAAGAGGGAAAACATTTTCTAAAGCAAGTCTTTGGATGTGGCAGGCACAATACAACCAAATACATGAACCAAACCAGTTCATGCTCAAGTGTTTGAGGTGGTGAGAGCCTTACTAACAAAAGGAGATGACACTGGAGTTGAGGGAACTTGCTTCTCCGAGATCACAGAGCTCAGGACAGAGGGCTGCAAGTAGACGCCTTACCTATGTGAAACAAGGCCCAGCTCAACCCAACCAGCTCAGTTCATCCCTATACCTCCACAGAATGCACAGAATGGGGGTCTTACCAGCCCCACTGAGGAGTCACAGCCACCACTGACCTGAACAGCAGGTCCCTAGCAGGGAAAAAGTACTTCAGGTTCCAATCCCAAGCTTCCCCTTCCCCAATGACTTTAAATCCCAGGTGTCTGCCATAGGACCTAACAGAAAACATCAGACTTGATATGAAACATTGTCACTACTGTGACATGTAACACACTAGTAGTTCACAGAATTCTTGTGACTTCTGTCCCTTCAGAAATGTCAGAAATGCCCCAGGGCTCTCAAGAGTCAGGTGGAGGTAGACTTGGTGGGGAGAGGTGCATCAGTTACCCAGTCACCCAGCAGTCACATTCTGAGATTATCTGTCGCCCAGCAGTCACACTCCGTGAGATTATCTGTCAGTCAGAAAGGGCTTCTTCCAATAGGAAAAATGCCACAGCTAAAGGACATCCTTCACAATGCGTAAAAGTTGTCTTCTCGAGCAACAATGGAAGGAAACTACCTCATGTGAACAAAAGGTCCAGCACACAGGAAGCTGGAGACAGCAGACAAGGCTTCATTTCTGCAAACAGGACTGGATGATGGTGAGGCACAGGGCCGTCTATGCCATACAACCACATCACAGGACTGAAATAGTGTCACACCCAGTGAAGGGTGCAACCCTTTTAGAGGTAGCCACAAGAACCAACCATGCAATCTTTCTTTCTTTTTTTTAACCATGCAATCTTTACACAAAGCAGAACTACAGCTGGTTTTCAAACCCCTTTTCTTTTCTCTACTATAAGTGAAGCTGAACCCAGGCCAGGGCTCCAAGCCATCGCCCACTTTTTCAGGCATAAGTAGTTTATCTTTCTTTGTAACCCTGTCTTATAAACCTGACACCAAAGATTACTCCTTCAATTTTTAACTTCTTACTTGTCTAAAAATATAAATGCTTACAATTTCAAAAGACCAAAATAACAAATGGAGACATGATACATTTTTCAAAAAGGAAAAAAAAAATTTTTTTGTATTTTAGGGAAGGGTCTACAGGGTGTACAGGGTCTCACTACTAGATCAGAGTCATAGTGATCTGCCTGTTTACAGCCTCTCAAGTGTTGGGATTTCAGGCGCATGCTACCACCCCCAGTCTCAACTGCCATCTCAGTGAGCCCCAGGGGTGGGGCCGGTACCGCAGACCCAGGGATTGAATCCCCCAGCTTCTGAGCCTGCTTGTAAACGCTTTAATCCGCTGAGCTATTTGGCCGACCCTAAAAATAAATCTCTGATGTCCAACTAAAACTTTACTTTCCTTGCTAGGCATGGTGATGCATGCCTATAATCCCAGCAATTGGGAGAGTGAAGTAGGAAAATGGCCACAAATTTGAGGCCACCATGAGTTAGAGATATAACAAGGATCCATCTCAAAAAAACAAAAGAGACACCCCCCAAAAAAAAAGTCCAGAAAATTCCTTTACTTTGTGGATTTTGAAACCAGAAAATTCTGACATAAGAATTCCTTCCTAACTAAACAAAAGACCATTAGCCCTGAAGGAATGGTTAACTAGACTTCTTAGTTCTTTTTAGGAGGGAATAAACAAGAGAGCCTTTCTGTTTGATTCTATGGCACAGGATCACATCCAGGGCCTCAGGCATGTACTGCGCTACACCCCTAGGCCCCCCAAGAGGAGCCTCAAGTTTTTTACAAAGAACAAAATTTCTACTCCATGTTGTAGTCCTTGAATAGATTTCCATATATATTATTTAAATAATCTCAAACATCTTTCCTCTTCAAACAGAGTCATGGGAGGCACCTGAGGGCCTTCTCTCCTGCACAACTGAGGAACCAGTATGACCAGTCTCAGGAATGGCATGGCACATGACTCAGAACAAGGGAAGCCCTTCCACTGCCCGAAGAATTTATATAACCAATTTTGGATTTCTGTTCCTGTTTTTGCTCCTGGAAGTTTCACTGCATCCTGTGACCAGAACACAGGGCCTTTCCTCATCTGTAATGCCCTGTGGAAAGAGTGGCAGTAGACATAGAGGGACAGAGAATTTGGTCCCAGGCCAAGCTGTCAATCCCCTGTGACCTTAGAGAAGTTACTGAAAAGCTCAGAACCTCATTTATGATATATAAATGAGACTAAGGGCTGGCCAGATAGCTCAAGGGCTGGTCAGACAGCTCAGAGGACTAAAGTGCCTGCTTAGACAGATGCACGGGCCAAGGTTTGATCTCTGTTGTGCCAAGCTGGTTCCAGCCTCACCCCTGGGACATGCTAAAATGACAAATGAGATTGGGCATGGTGGTGTACACCTGTAATCCCAGTACTTGGAAAGCTGAAAACAGAAGAATCACTACAAGTCCGATCTACATAGTGACACCCTACAGACCTGTATGAAATACATAATGAATAAATAAATGAGACTGGCCATTTTCCTTCAGGCTTGTTGAAATGATACCTATGGGATAGAAACTGTAAAAACTACAAAGTGTGGAGCTGTTTTTATTCCTCCTATGAGTGATGGCTCTGCTCCAACCTCTACAGTCAGGAGGCACCTTGATCATAACAGTTCTCAGGACTCTGAAAACATCTGCCTCTTTCACACATTTGGGGATAAGTTATAACTGTTAATGTTTTTATCAACTCTCATTTTTCTCCTTGAACTGAGAACTGAGACAGAGTGGAACTCCAGGGACACATATCTGATTGTAAAGGTGCACAAGACTCACACGTTTGGAAGCCAGACCTCACACCCAGCATCACTCCTTTCTCTCCACCCAGTAAAGATTATGAACATAGCACCCAGTCTCCCTTCATCCTCACAGCTTTTTTTTTTTTTTTTTTTTGGCAGAACCAGGGATGGAACTCAGGCCCTTATGCTTGCCAGGGAAGCGCTTATTTCACTGAACCATCTCCCTGGCCCCTTATAGCTTTTTGAAAGACTGTCAGGTATGAGAAGCAAGTTAGCTAAATAACTAAAGCAGGTTCTGAAGGAGCAGCTAGTCATTTAGAATCAGAATTTGAAATCTAGGAAACAAATTATACAAAGTCAAAAGTCATCTCTGAAAAATTCTTTCTGTAACTCTCCAGAACCTGAACTCTTAGAAGCTGAAAATTCAAGGTCTTACCTTTTGAGATTGCTTGGGAGTTTTGTTTGCTTTTTGCTTTTCAACTAGCCCTTCCTTTTCTGGGCTAGAGAGGACAAGGTCCAGTTGAAAAAGGCTAAATGGAGGGCAGCCTAAATTTGTGATAGAAAAATCACAGCAAAGGAAAAGCATTTCTATCTAAACCCTCACAACAAGGAGTAAGAAAATTCAAAACATCTGGCAGATCAGTGACTGAAGCTATTCCAATCAAAGCCAGGCTCTGCTTCAAGTTATCTCCTCTCTGTCTGACATTTTTCAGCAAAATGGTGCTCACCGTCACACAGCCAGGGGGAGTGTTCAAAGAAATGTACAAGGAGACTCTGAATACTGGCCAGCACACAGACAGTGTGAGACAGATACTGGCTGCTCTATCACCATTATATACTGGTGCCACCATGCAGCCCTTCCAAAAACCACTGCATGAATCAAAGCCTCAGTCACAGAACAGGACAAGCCAGGACCTTGTACTTACTCTTAATCTGCCCTTTGACATCACGGTCTTCACCCGAATGTTCTTCCTCATAATGTGACTGCAACTGATAGAAAGACTGCAAGTCCTTCAAGCACAGGGGGCAGAGGAAGCCCTCCCTCACATCCCCCGGGTCGTCCAGAGAAGCCATGGCAGTGCGCTTTCAACTCCAAAAAGGCAGAGGTCTCATGCCAATGGTTCCCTTGATTCTTCCCCTGACCAGGGTTCCTGGAGTGTTAGCTGAACCAAGCGTCACACAGGTGACAGGAAAGTGGCATCATGGCCCCAGATGAAGTTTCCTCTCTGGAGCAGAAGGAACTCTGAGAAAGTAAAAGAGGGAAAAGCCAATCAGGCAAATTAATGTCAACCAAGAATCTTTTTTTTGTTTGTTTGCTTGCTTTTTGGCAGAACCGGGGATTGAACTCAGTAGAATCTTGTTTTTACAGGTTCAACATTTTGCACATTCACTACAAGTCTGCACAAACAAAACTTTCTCACATCCTTAGGTCAGGTCACAAAATCCAGAATGAAACTCATGGGACACCTACCAGAACAAAAGCACCTCCTGCAAATGAGACTTGACAGCACTGCTCTTACATTTGTTTTACTTTATTTTTTTATGTATTTAGTACAGGGTCTCACTACACAGAACAGACTTGTAGTGATCCTTCTGTTTTCAGCCTCCCAAGCGCTGAGATTACAGGCCGATGCCACCACACCCATTCTACCACTCTCATATTTACTGCAAATGTTCCAACTTCATTTCTGTAGCACTTAAGGAACCATCTGATGTACTTATCAACAAGTGCAAGTTTTTCTTGACTTTCTACCTTGTTAATTTATTCAACCACATACTATAATGAACCAATCTTGATACTTAAAGGGCATATGTGTTAAAAATGAGGTGAAAAAGACACAATGTCTCACACAGAAACACAAAAGAACTAAAACAAAACAAAAACCTCAACACAGTGTAAGGAGAAACAGTAGAAACAAACGAAGCAGAAAGGAAAACCATCCAGGTGCAGTGGTTCCTGTCTGCAGTCCCAGTCATCTAGGAGGCAGAGACAAAAGATCACCTGGGCAACACAACAAGACTCTTTTAACCAATAGCAAATAAAGTAAACAAAAACTTATTTAGTATTTGCAAAGTAACTCCTCTCCAGCTTACCACATTTAATAAACCAGTGACAGCTGAACAGCAAGCTTAACATTCTCACTACTTCAAACATAAAACTTAGTAAATTCCATTTTCTGCCTTATTGGCAAAGTCACTTCCAATGTCACCTCAGAAGAATTAGCCATGGGCCAGCCAGATAGCTCAGCAGATTAAAGTGCCTGCTTAGGCAGGTGCAGGGACCCAGGTTGGATCCTGGCATGCCGTTCCAGACCCGACCCCAGGGCACACTGAGAAGGCAATTGAGACTGGGCATGATGGCATAAGCCTGTAATCCCAGCACTTGGGAGGCTGAAAACAGGAGAATCATTAAGAGTACAATCTGTATAGTGAGACCTTGTAGATCCTGTACTACATACACACACACACACACACACACACACACACACAAAACAAAAAACTAGCCATAAAGAGAATTCAGATAGAACTGGAGAAACTTCTCCCCTTCAAAACTGGGGCCACAAATCACAGCGGTGCATCAGAGCATGTGTGACCTTCAGCTGGGGATATCTGGTGAGGTGATGAGGGGATCACCTGTTCCTCAAAGTTGAGGTTGGCAGCAACTTGGAAAATAAACATAGGAGGGGCCGGTGAGATGGCTCAGTGGAATAAGAGCTTCCCTGGCAAGTGCAAAGGCCTGAGTTCAATCCCTGGTTCTGCAAATAAATAAATAAATAAATAAAAATAAACATAGGAGACACTAGCCTGTTTGTTCCTCTAGTTAAGAAACCCAGTGACCACATCCACACAGATCCCAGCCCTTGTCCCAGCTCATCACTGAAAATGCACCCCCAGGTCCAACCTGTTCTGGCTACAGCTGGCTATGACTGGCAGCCTCCTTCAGTCCTCAGGCCCCATTCCCCTGCGGCACACATTCCCCTCCAAGCTGGTCCAAACCTCAGCCCCTTTGAGTCCTCTCTTACTCAAAGCTGGGTTCTGCAAAAGCCACGCATCTCAGTGTGCATCACGTGCACACTCGGGGAAAGGACTAAATAGTACAAGCCTAAGAGCTGTGGGGGCACAGATGATGTCCTTCTTTCCCCAGTACCACACATTGGGGCTTTAGCACTGTCTGTCACACACAACCATGAAACGTAATAAAGCTCCATAATCCGAGCGTGGCGTCACATATCCACTCGGAAGGCTGAGGAAGGACGTCTGGGAAATTTAGGAAGACCTTGTCTCCAAATAAGTAAGAAAGGTTGGTGGGTTGCACTTCAGTGAGAAGGCCCTGGTTTCATCCATAGTACTGGGGGGGGGGGACAGAAAAGAGAAAAGTTCACGAACGGATGAACCCTAAACGATAACCCTCACTATGCCGGCATCATGCAGGACCCTTCTCCAAACGCCCCGCCCAAGTGTCCGCAGGAGCCGCAGCGGTACCCGGTCCCAAGGTATCCCAGGGACACTGCCCGCTACAGAGACCCGGCCGAAGGACACGCGACACGAGGACCTAGAGGAGGACCGACGACACTGCCGCGGACCGCAACGAACTCGCGCACGTACATCCCTCCCGCCGCCACCGCTCGGCCGCATCCACCACCTCTCGCCGCACAACGCGACCAGTGCGCGCACACCAGAACGTACCACACCGTTCCCGAGCGAGCCCCCAGCAACAGCCCTTTGAACCCGATCGGCCGCCGGCGGGAAGGCCTATGTCGTCGGCGGCCCGAAGTCTGGGCCTGCGCGGCCCCTCAAAGGGTCTTAGCCGCCATATGTATCGGCTGCTCGGCGCTCAGTAGGCGCGCCTGCGGAACCGGAAGGGAGACTGACAGATTCCGGCCGAGCGCCGAGCACGCGAGCGCTCGGGGAGCCGGACCTTGCAGGATCCGCGTTGGCGCTGTGGAAAGAGGCGGGTCCTGTTAAGGGGCGGGCTTGCGGCGCTCTGCCTTACGAGTGCGCGCTCGCGCGGTGAGTGTATATACAGCTGTCCTGGCGTGGCAATAGAGGCCCCGGGCCGGTGGCGCTTCTCTAGTGTGCGAAAAGATGCAGCCTTTCTCGTGCTACACCGCAACACTCAGTATTCCAGGAGTCCCCTCCCAAGAGCGGGGCTGCTCGGGACCCGGCAGCAGAACAGGGGGAACCCGAAGTCACCCTCGTAGGATTTGCGGAACAGTCTCACGCTCTGGGCGGCCGGGACCTGGAGGGGCTGGGCTCTGCCCTAACCCTGGCCCTGAGCCTAACCCTAACCCATTACCCACCTCTAACCCTAGCTCTAGTGCTGAACTTAGGGTGAGCCTTCACCTTACCTATTACCAGCCCTAACCATAACCATATCCCTAACCTAACTCTAGCCCTAACCTTTACTGTAACCCTAACCTTACCCCGTGGCCTCCCCTCTACCCCTGCCTCTGAGGGTGTAGGGCCCATGGCTTGGAGAGCATGAAGTTTGTGGGGTAGTTAGCAGTGAAAGGGTGTGGAGCTGGAAGGTTCAGAGGCCACAGGAATCCAGGGCCTCGCACCCACATGCGGGCTCCTAAGGTACCACCCTCACCCCCACCTTGAGACAAGGTCTGATGGCCTAGACCTTCCCACACAGAGATACCTCAGTCTCACCATGTAGTCCAGGCTGGCCTTGAATTTGGAGCTATCCTCCTGTCTCAGTCTCCCAAGTATTGAGAGGTATGCACCACTATGCCCAGCACGTATATATGTTTCCCCAAAAGTAGCTAATGCAGGAATACAGAAAAAAGACCCTGGGAGGAGACTGAAGACCCTGAGCAGGGACTTTCATCCACAGCCTGTCTGAGGTCGGTTTAGGAAAGAGCTGTGAGAAGCCAAATGGCCACCATGGGGGGAGTGGATGGACTACACCAGGGCTGGGCTTGCAGAGGCCAGCACTGCTGTGTCCTTGCCCCCAGCCCCTGGATCCCAGGGTCATTTTCTCCTAAGAGTCAGGACGGCCCTAATAAGTTCGTTTTATTTTGTTTTACAGCCCTGGGGACTGGACTCAATTTGTGCTCCCAGCTTTTTTTATTTTTAGAGAGGGTCTGGAAAAATTGTTTAGGCTAGACTTAAACCTGTGCTCCTCCTGTCTCAGCTCTGTAGTGAAAGCTTGTCTTAAAACACAACAAAAGCTTGCTGATTGATTCTTAAAACTGTGACCCTTGAATTGGGAACCCAGAGCACAGTTCCTAGAGCCTCCTACACCATTCCTGGTCTGGCTCTCTCCTCCTATCCACTCCAGATCTGGCAAACTCCAACTCCGGACTCAGGACTCATTTCAAGGGTCTGATGGCCTAGACCTTCCCAGACAGAGATACCTCATCCTTTGTGAGTCCCCAGTTATCAATGCATGCTTTCCAGATCTGCCACGTTGTGACACTCCAAACTATGGCAAGAAGAAGCCCTGCCACACCAACACACCCTGGCAGCGAAGATGTGACACAGCAGTTTCTTGACTTCTTGTGTACCAGTTTGCTTGCCCATAAAGGGACAGCAGAGCCTTGCTCAGGAAGCCCTGGGCGCATGTGAGCTGCCCTTATTCTCCCTATTACGTCTGTGCACACGTTGGCGGGGCTCTTTAATGCCTATGTGGGGCCTGGCCCAGGAATTACTTGCCAAGTGAATGAATTATGGGCTACAGATAAGCTTCACATTCGTGAGCAGAACCCCATGGATGTGAACAGGAAGTCGGAGCTGGTGAGAAGTCACTGTCACCTAGGACACTGAGCGCCTCCTTCCAAGCCTCCTCTGTGCCCCTGTGCTGCCTGGTTGCTGCCTTCTGCTTCTATTTTTGTTGAGCCTGGGTGGCTCCAGGTGGATCAGAATTTGGGGCATAGTCTGAACCCTGAGCCCTGTGCCAGACTTGATCACCCCCATGTGTCCCCCGCCACTGACTTTAAATAGTACCTTCCCCATCCCAGGGCTGAGTGGACACAGGCTGTGGAGCAGAGCTATTTAGGTTGATGCTGTACCCTGAGTCCCAGGCTAGACCCTTCCACCCCACAGCAGTGCCCTCCCAAGCTCCCCATGACCTGGAACATGGGGACCCACAGTCCCAACCCCCCTATGTGACTATCCTCTGCCTTTGCCATCCCCATCCTGGTTCTCACATCCCTGTCTATATTCCCCCATTGAAGCTTCCAGCATTAGAGTCATCCCTGTCCCCCCTTCAAATCGGCCACATCCGCATGCTGCAGCCATTGTCCCTGAACATTAGCCCTGCGCTAGATCTGCAATTGCAACATGAGTGTACTTGCTTTCTCTAATGCAGGTTTAATAAATAAGTGTTAAAATTCCAGCCTAGGGACCACTGACAATCATCCTACGCAGAAGTGAGTACCCTGGCTGTGGTGGGGAGAGAAAGGTGACAGTGCAGTGCCAAGAACATGCAGGCTTGAGAAGCCCTGGCTCCACCCCAGCACCAGGAAAAGAAAGAAGCAGGAAGAAGAAGAGAAGAGGAGGTTTAGAGGACAGATCTGCAGAAGGAGGTGTCTGGGTGGGGAGTGCAGGCCAGGGATGTCCAGGTGGGAGGCACTGAGTCAGTTGGGTCCTACAGTCCCCAGCAGGAACACAGTCTTGGGCCTGCCAGTCAGGTTGGCCCAGTCTCATCTGCCACCCTATTCTGAGAGGCACTGCTTTGTACCCAGTGGCTAGCAAAAAGAAGCTGGAGACAGCCTGGGCCAGAGGCATAGCAGGAAGTGCAATGTGTCCCAGGTCAGCTCATGGAGAGTAAAACATGGGGGGAAGTAGGAGGCATTCGGTCCCTGTGCCAGCCCCAGGCCACCCAAGGAAGACCATAATACATAACAGTAGTGCACACTTACAAGCCTAGCACTTGGGAGGCTGAGGCAGGAGGATCTCCATGAGTTTCCAGCCAGTCTGGGCTAAATAGTTCAAGACCAGCCTGAATCCCATAGTGAGACCCTGTCTCAAAACTACAACAGCAAAAGCATTCTGTCAACGATGGACTACATATATGACAGTGGTCCTATACAATTATAGCTAAAAAATTCCTGACACCCAGTGACACTGTAGGTGGCATGATGCTGTATACAACTCAGACTCCACATATCTGTGCTGGTACCAGTATTGACAAAGCCACTGCCCCGTCAGTTATCTAAAAGAGAGCACAGTCACTATTTTACATGTGCACATTGTGTGAGATGTGTGCAGTGCCTAGTTTGTGGGTACTTTGGGTAACTCAACAGCAATGAGAAGCAGCTGTGTGACGTGTATGATTTATTACACTAGGCTTTTGTCATTATTTTGGAGTATACCCCCATTTATCTGAAGTCATACTCACTGCCCATCTCAGCTTTCTGTCACTGTGACAAAACAGTCTTTGAGAATCACAGCTCAAAGGAGAAAGAGTTTGCTTTGCTTCTGGTTTCCTGAGATGCTTTGCTTTTAGGCCAGTGTGGGACAGAAACATCATGACGGGAGAGCTGCTCATCTCATAGCAGGCAGGAATCAGAGGAAGAGGAGAACAGGGACTAGACAGAGCTCCTGGCCAAACCCCAGGGACTCCTCCCTCACAGGCCCCACCTCCTACCAGCACTTCAAGCCGTGACTTGTCCATGGAGTCGAACAGCCCATGACCCAGTTACCATCCACAAGGCCACCTCTAAACACAGGAGACTTTAGGGGACATTCTAGGTCCTGTCTATTGTACCAGCACCTTTGATAGCTCGGTGGTAGAGAGCTTGCCAACACATGCAAAGCCCTGGTCTCATCCCCAGCAAGGCAATCAATCAACCAGTGTTAAGAAGTTATTTATTAAAATAAATAAATAAAAATTTAAAAAAGTTATTCATTGTTTACCTGACATTACTACATAACTGGCCATTCTGTGGTTCATGTGGAGGAGGCTGGGAGTTGTGAGACCACCACAGACGTCACATCTGGAAAGAAGAGAAATGAATTGAGGCAGGACATTTCCTGGGCTGATATTGGCCCCAGAGATGCCTGAGGATGATCGTCCCGGTGAGAGGGACATGATCGTGATCCTGCTACAAGGGTTCCCAGGATGAGTGATGAGCCTGGAGCATCCAGGTAGCCCTGAAAGTCACCTTGAGTCCTGCAGAAGGGGTAAGGTGAGAAAGGAGGGGACAGACAGGAGACACTGAGTGTGAGCTGGAAAAGGCATGGAGACACCATATCCACCAGGGTCAGCCCTGTAGACCCGGATGTTGGCCCCAGGAGCTGCATTCCCACTCTGCTACTTGAGCTGTCAGAAAACATATCTGCATTGTTTAAAACCTGTGATGCTTGTAGCATCAAAAGAAAAGTGTCCGGACAGCAGAGGTGTCTTACAGGACAATGATTAGACAGTTACGGAGGCCAGAAGCGGGAACCCTGCTGGGCAGGAAGGGCTATGGGAAGACTGGGCACTCAGAGCAGAGCAGCAGGGAACCAGTCTCCGTGTCAGTGCTGGGCTTCCTTGGTGGCCAAGCCTGTCACACTCCTTCCTTGGGAAGCAAGGTGTATGGTTTTGCAGCTGTCCTTTTGCTCTCCTTCTACCGTGAAGAACCCTCAGCACACAGAGGCTCAGAAGCCTGCTGAATGGTGCACGTCTGAAATCCCAACTCTTGGTGACTAAGGTGGGACAATTTCAAATTTGAGGCCAGCCTAGATTGCGTGAGACACTGTCTCAAAAGAAGGAAGGTGAGAGAGAGAGAGAGAGAGAGAGAGAGAGAGAGAGAGAGAGAGAGA